AACTCTTTTCACAGATAGAAAACCATTCTGAAAAGCTCAAATTATTGATGGATTATAATTTATTTGTCTTCCTTGAATTGTAGCATAATCAGATACAAAATTGTTGCAATTTTAGATGCAAAATAAAACATTCAACTTTTTTTTAATTTCCCATAAAATATACACTTTTCATACACTTCATTCAACACATGCATGGACAATTTTCCTCTTTGAAATATTTTGGAGAAATCAGACCATCATTTTCCATCGCTTTTGCCTGCAGATAATTCATAAATGCATTTGTTACTTCAACTGGAATTGTTGAACCGATTCCTGGAATATTTGGTGCCTTTAGATGCAAAGCGTCCAATTTTTCAATTGGTTCCATACTTTCAAGCTTGTGCTGACATTCGTAGAAATTGTACGATCTCAGATTCGGTAGATAATGGTCAACAAACTGATAAATCCAATTCCATGGCGCTCCAATCCTGCGAATGACTTCGTATTTCCAGTTCGAGTCGATACTTTTCATTGCATTCTCGTCAGTGATTTTATCATTCTCTGAATCCGAACTGATTTTAGATAGCACTTGAATCGTTTCTGTGAAGGTCACTGTAGTTTTGATACGATCAAAGGCCGAGGAAATCGATGGATTGCTCTGTTCATCATCAAATTTCACACACGCCTTCCATTCTTCTATGAGTCCATTTCGAAAATGTTGTGCGTTTATTTGTGCTGGTTGATTGTCTGACTTCCCGCTGTAAAATTACAAAGATTCCATTCGATTGAATTACAGCCACAATTTTGAACATATTAATGTGTTAAAAATGAAGCACTTACGCTGGACTATCTCTCGTGTCTTCTATTACGCTCGGGTCCAATTGTGCAAGAAATAGATAGCACGTTCTAAACATCCAAAGTGGTATCGAATTCAAACCACCTTCCGCATCATCTGTTAGCAGCTCACAAATAAATTCGATTGTCGATTCAAAGTCCTATCAAAGAAAATCACTCAACTTATTTAATTCATATACTTCGTTATGGATAAAACTAATTGAAACCAATTAATTACCAAGCACATGGATGCAGCCATTACGGATAATAATTCGAGCCAATGAACTCGCTCCCAATGGATCATTCCACAGACATTCAAAAATGCCAACAAATCGTTCTGAAAAATATTTTTGTTTAAATAATTTTATATTGATTCTCAATTTTATTGAATTTGTTCACCTCAGACAATCCAATTCCTTTCCATCTCGCTTCCAATACTCGTCGTTCAATAAAATAACCTTTTCCAATCTGAAAGTATCATAAACTCAAAATTGGTCAAATTCATTTCAAATGCTGTGTTCCAGGAAGTTTACCTGCTTAATCAAAACTTTCAAGTACTCCTTGGTCAATGACCGAGCCTCAATCATTTGTTCTGTGTTTTCTTCAAATCGTAATTTAGCCGGTGGTTGAACATTGTTGGCAATACAACGAAAGTAGGCAGCTGACCACGATAGCAAATCGTAAGGTTGTGTTCGCAATGCATCTGTGAAAGTGCAGCAAAGAAAATTAGCGCCTTTTTACACAATCTTATGTACACATTCACACCATACCAACCTTTTGCGTATGTTTTTAAAATGCATGGAAAAGCCTCGGGAACAACAATGTTACTGTTGGATTTTGACATTTTTGCCTCAAAATTAAACTGAACACGATAAATAGATGGTATGAAAATTATGTAAAAAGATAATTATTTGATGAAATATGCACATGAATTGAATTGAAGTCGCTTGATTTGATGGAATCAAAGTTATTTGTTATAGTGATTTACCATGGCAACAATGTAAACAATGATTAGACAATCAATGGTTGTGGGTGTTAGCAGAGTGTGTGTTCTATTGTCAAACAATGTCATTTGACATTCGAACAGCAATTTGTATCCGTTGACAATAGAAATGTTTTGCACATATTAACTGACTCAATGCATGAAACCCGTTTCAAAAATGTGCGCCATTCATTTCGTTTGTCCCATTTTTTCCTCGTTCATGTTGATAAGGGAATGAATGGCAGTTGATAACAACTGACCTATTCCTTCGCATTACATCATTCCAAATCAACTGTGCACTTTAACAGTGTTCTTGTGCTAACTTTTTTGTTTGGATGTGAATTTGCGAGCTGCGCGCAATATGAAGCGGAGTTTAATTTTTATTTCAACTTATTTGATCATTTTCACCGTTTATGTGAGTTTGAACATTTGTTTGAATCCATTTTTCCATCTAAAATTTGTTTATCATTTCCTGATTTTGTTTTGATTAAATTTTAGTGTTCTGAAGGCGATAAGAAAATAGTCAGCATCGATGAAGACTATATAAAAGCATTTCGTGCAAAGTACTACGAGGAACCAGTCGAAAAATTGGATGACCTAAATCCAAAGTCTGAAGATGTGATTGGAATTTTTAGTCAAATTAAAGATCTGGAGAAGAAAGGCTTCGATATGCTTAACACCGTGCCCGAAAATGGTGCAACATGTTCCATTCAAGTTAAATTCTACATCACAGCAGTGATTGATCGAGCCAAAGAACAGACTGACTATTGCGTTGTAAAGAATGTGAAGAAAGAAAGTCGACGCGAATTAAATGTGAGTTTTTATTATTGCCACCATTGAAAACCATTCTTTTTCTAAAATTATGGCTTAATTTCAATCTAATTTTCAATGTTGACGAAATAATCTCTTGAAAAAAGATCGAACAGAAAAATTGCACATTGGACGTTTTGGAATCGGCGCAAAAACAAGTTGACGGAATGTTAGCGACAGTGGAACGCTGTAGATTGGTTGAATGATAACCGTTTTAATCAACATTCGTATTGCGGAAGTGGAATATTCAGTGCAAATGTTGTAATCATTAAAAGATTGTCATTGTTTGAGAATGTGAATAAATGTTCAACACTGAATTTCGCTCAAATTACTACTTGAAATACGATACAAAATTCATTTCGTTTAATTTTCCAATCGTTTGATTCTATTTAAATCTTTGTGCATTCTACTACTACTTCAAACTGAGAGAATGACAGCTAAATATGACGTTTGGTTTGACGTCCAAAAATTTTGTTTATGTTTACCTCGGTGAAAACATGAAAGCTGCATAAAAACCTCTTGCGTGAATCTATTTAGTTGAAAAACAAGGATGGAAGTGCTGATTTTTAATGGAATAACTTATAAAACTCCATCTCATTCGGCTTTTCACTGCCGTAAAATATTCCATTCAATGGAAAAAAAACCGACTGAAGAGCTAGAACAATGGTTTTTTCGAATAGAAACAGCAATTGCTGGCTGTGATTTCGGAGATTTTACCCATTTCATGTTGATCGATAAATTTATTTGTGGATTAAGTGAGGAAATATTCGAAAAATATTCCAAAACCAGTGTATTGGACGTAGAACAACTACTATCAATTGGAACATCAGACACATTCCTTCTGAATAATTCCTTTGCCGGCACCAAATTCGAACCAATCAAAGACATCGATGAATTACTTTCGCTGGAAATAGTTGGAAGCAACGTTTTGAATGTAAGACATTTTTAGGAAAAAACATTTTGAAATTTATTTCAGAGAATTTAAATTAATTCAACTGTGAGAACCAAATTTTTGCGTCTTCTAGGGAGATGAATATGATTTGAAGAATGATAACGGTGCCCAGTCAAATAATGACATCTATCCGGAAGATAGTCAAATAAATGAAGAACAGTTGGCAGAAGAAATCATGGAATCGGACTTGATTGAAAACGAGGAAGATAATCCCAAAATGAGTGATTGCCCTACAGCTCTAGACAAACCACTTCAAACTCATATCAAAGGATTTCTGATTGATGCACAAAATAGGATCGTATGCTTGGATTGTGACAAAATTTTTGCGTTGAAATCTTCATACAACATACACAAACGAATGTAAAAAAAAATTGATATTCCACCAAATTCTGAACAATTTTAACGATTTCCTATTCAACTTTCAGTCACACTGGCACCAATTTACATCGATGCAAAGTATGTGATAAGATTTTTACCACCCGCAGCAAGATGCTACGACACATGCCAACGCATGATAATGATGGACGCAACTTTGAATGTTATTTGTGTTCGTTTCAGTTCGATCAATTTTATGCTTTGCGAATACATTTCAATATGAAACACTTGATGTCGAAAGAGGATGCAATCCACTGTACCATTTGCAATCCTAAGAGGACATTTTTGAGCCGAAATGCGTTCGATCGTCATTTGAAAGTTGTGAGTTATTATTGGCTATTAATATGTTCTTATTAATTTGTCCAAACTTCATTTTATTAATTCATTTCATTCCTTTTGGAAAACAGCATCAAGGATTGACGCAAACACACAAGTGTCCACACTGTGACAGAGAATTCGAAAAACGTGGCAAACTGAGTGAGCACATACACGTTCATTCAGATTTCAAGCAATTTGTCTGCGAATCGTGTGGAAAAGCCTTCAAGACACGCAAACAACTGAAATTACATTCGCGAAGACACAGTGAGAAGCCGTTGAAGTTCAAGTGTGCAGAATGCGGTCTAATGTTGACATCGAGCTTCTCATATAAAAATCATTTACGGCAGCACACTGGAGAAAGACCATTTGCGTGCGAAATCTGCCAGAAAACATTCGTTCAACGGGCCAATTTATTGAGGCACTTAATGGTGCATCGAAACGAAAAACCACACAGTTGTTCCGTGTGTGAAAAACGATTTGCCACCATGTATCATTTAAAAATTCATAAATCAGTCCACACGGGCGAAAAACCATACAAATGCAAACAATGCGACCGCGCATACACACAACTTGGTACACTCAAAGCACATCAAGCCAAAGCACATTCGAATTCAACACCTGGAAATTCTGAATTAGTATAGATTTCTTTCGGCTAATTAGAGTTAAATTTTAGAATAAGTAAAAATAAAAACTCAAGAAAAACAGTATTAATGAGTATAATAGTACTCGTTTAAATGCACTATTTAGAGCACATTCAATGCATCAAATAAATGTTCGAAAGATAAATGGTCCATTTCTGCTTTTATAGCGTATATTGCGACAACGTACAAGAATGCTAACTGTCAACAATGGAAAACAACATTCATTTGACATTACAGTTGAATGACAGAAGAAAAACAATTGTAAGCATAAGAAACATAAACAGTTCTATCGACGGTCTTTCTGCATTCTCTTTTTCTAGTTGAATAATAATAGTTTGAAACCAAAAACCAAATAGAAAAAATTGCAAAATGTCTGATCGATTAACGCAATTGCAGGATACAGTTAATTTGGTGAGTAATGTTTATCATTTTGGAAATTGCATCGAAAAAGAAATATGATATGAAAATCCATTGTTTGGTTCTTTTCTTCAACAGCAAGCTGAACACTTTTGTAACAGCATTGGTATCCTGCAACAGGTAAGTCGATTCTACTTTGAAATAAAAATGTTTTTCAATAGAAACAACAATATTCAAATTTTAATTTATTTCCAGTGTTCGGTTCCGAGTAAATTCCCGGCATTTGAACGGAATGGTGCCCAACAATCATCACAAAATACCCAAGAAGACTATGCGCAATTGTTTTCAACACTTATCTCAAGGTAACAAATTGTTCAGTACAAGATATCTATAAATTGCTTTGTGACAAATGTTCAACATTCGATTCAAATGGTTTTTTTTTCAGATGTGCTAAGGATATCGATACGCTGATTGAATCGTTGCCCAATGAAGATAGTTCACAAGAATTACAAGCGCAAAGTTTTCAACGTTTGGAAATGGAAAATCAAGAAGCCGCAAAACGTTTAGAAGAAGTAAATTATTCACAGTCAAACTGATGAGACTTTTTTGTATGTTTTAATTTTAACCATTTTTTATTTGTAGGCTATCGACCGTGGTCAGAAAACACTGGAAAAAATTCAGGCTGCTCTCAGCGATATCGCACAAGCCCAACTTGATATATCATCATCAGTGCCGTCAGAATGAATATGATAACTTACAGATAAACTTCATCATTTCATCACCTCAATCGACATCTTATCTAGATAGAGCTATAAAAAATTGAAATTACTCTGGGATCCTACATAATTTTACTTAACTGCCGATGAAATTAAACCATTATTATTGTTCCTTATTTTGTTTATAAATTTTTAATGTCTGTTTGAGGCAGATAATGTTTCGTACATTCAGAAATTCTGAATTAGTATAGATTTTTTTAGGCTTTTTATAATGAAAAAATTTAAAATTAGTCAAAATAAAAGAAAATTCCAAAGAAAAACATCTTATAATCCATTTGAATGCATTATTTAAAGCATATTCATGCAAATACATCTAGTACGGTCAATTCAATGAATCTCAACAAGTTGACAGCTGCTTCTGTCAATTGGCTTTCGTCACAACAACTTGTTTATTTTGATTCTAAAATGCTCTGTGGAAATTTTACTTGATGAATATTAAATTCTGTATAAAATGATTGTGTACAAAACACCGACTGTCGCTGCTTTTCATCATCGGCAGCAGTTCCACGCTACACAAAAAACGCAAGGTGAAAGTATTTCCGATTGGTTCAAGCGGCTTCAGAATTTTATTGCGAAATGTGAGTTTTTGGACACATCGGATTACATGCTCATCGATAAATTTGTTAGCGGTCTCAATGAAACGGATTTCGAGAAACTATCACAAGTTGCCACTTGGACTGCCGAAGAATTGGTTTTGGTTGTAATCGGTAATGCACACATTTTCAAAAATCTGCCCATCAAAGACGAACAACAAGCTAATGACAGCCACGATATACCGCCTGTTGAAGTGAAAGAGGAATGTGTAAGTGAATGTGGTTTGGACAAAAAATGAAAATAGTTAAAAAGATTTTCTTCTGAATTTTTCAGTACATGGATATAAATATCGCCGCGAATGATGAAGCAGATTGTGATTTTGACCATGGCGATTCAAACGACATGGAATCATTGGAATTTATGAAAACTGGTGATGAAACGCCAATTGCAAATAATGACAAGTCCAAATTTAAGAAAAGGGTAATTTTTCCATTCTAATTTTCTTATCTTTTTCATAAGCTTCAATTTAAAATTTTAATTTAAGCACAAACTCTTCAACATTTTAATCAATTCCGTTTCTGAATCAGACACATCGGGAGAACAGTGTACGAGCTAAGAAGCACGTGGAAATGTTGAAACGAACTGGCCGATATGAAGAGTACAAACGAAAGAAAGCGGTTAGTGCCAAAAATCGAAGAATGAAAGCCAAAGAAAACGAACAGTATTTACCGCCGGAGCTACAGTTGCATCTAATAAATGAGCGTCGACGTGCGACACGTGAAAGAGTGAAACGGTGGCGTGAACGTAAAACACAAAAACCCGAAGATCTGAATGAATCAATTCCAGCAGAAGTAGCCACTGTCATTGTCAATGAATGTTTGGAAGCAGAAGTACCTGATGTGGTCATCGATAAACCGATTGAAGAGGACAACCTACTGTTACAGTAAATATCTTTGAGTTTTAATGAGTGTTAATTTGACCCTATCCTAGGACCCATTTTATTATGGTGGACATAAATTATCTTGTATCATTTTCAGGCCATTGGAACGAAGACGCAGTGGAAGAAAAACACAATACAAGAAGCCGAAAACGGTCAAAAGAAAATCAAAATACATAAAGAAGCATCGAGAGTTTGAATGTTACTTGTGTTTGTTGAAATGTAAGAGGATGTATGAATTGAAAGCTCACTTGAACGTGTTTCATCCGGTGGAAAAGCGGGAAGTACTCAACTGTCCTCACTGTACTAAAACGACGGTTAGTCGAGAGGTACTTAGTCGGCATTTGAGAAAGGTAAACTAAGAAAAGAGTAATTTTCATCACTTTCCGCTGAACATATCCTTTTTTCCATGTTCCATAGCATCATGGTACAATTGAAATGCACAAGTGTCCCTGTTGCGACGAGGATTTCACAAGACGAGGTCAGCTAAGCGCACATTTAGCCATTCACCCAAATTACCGGCCATTCATATGCGAGACGTGCGGCAATGGATTTAAAACCAACAACGAACTTACTTCGCATTTCCGAAAGCACACCGGCGAGAAGCCATTCAAGTGTGGCGTGTGTGATATGTTCTTGGTATCAAGATCATCGTATCGTAGCCATATGTTGGTTCACACCGGTGAACGGCCATATCCGTGTAAGCTGTGCGACAAAGAATTCCGGCAACAATCAAGTTTGCGCAAGCATTTGATCTCGATCCACAATCAAGGTGAAAAACCTTACCTATGCACCACATGCAATAAACGATTTTCATCGATCTACCACTTGAGAATTCATTCAAACGTTCACACAGGTGATCGTCCGTATCTATGCAAATACTGTAATAGCACCTTTAGCCAACCATCAGCACTCAAGGCGCATGTTGAACGAATTCACGAGAATAAACGGCGCAATCGAAAAATGGACGAGAAAATCATGGATAAAAATTTAATTTTATCGTTGCCAAAATAAAAAACTTCATTTAATCTGGGCGATTCACAAAGCATATTGTCGCTTGAAAATCTAGGCCGTTTTATTCTACTACATTCATTTCTATCATCCTGACAGTTCGTCTGATTTGTTTGACAGCCGATTACATTCCTCAACTTGTTGATAAACAAAAAAGTGTTGAATGTGTTTACTAGCAAAGGATTGTGTTATGAATAAAGCTCACTATTATTGATGCATTCAATATGTATGAATTTTTGAGACCGTCGTTAACAGCGTTTCAAAGCCGAAAATTGTTTCATTCATATCAAAAAGAGCAGGGTGACACGGTGGAAGAGTGGTTTCGATGTATCATCGACACTTTGGAGGGTTGTGAGTATGGAGAATTATCCGAATTTATGCTTATCGATAAGTTCATAGCTGGCTTAGATGACGAAACGTGTGAAAAACCTGTACCATATGCAACGATTGCAATAGATACACTGCAGTCAATTGAATTAGATATCAAAAATCACTTTGCAATTCCGTTGGAATCAACGACATGTGACGAAATCACCAACGATATTGAGGACTTTTTAGCTGTAGACGATATCAAAGTGGAAGTAAGTAGTTGATTTTGATTGATTGATTGATCTTAGATTGGTTCGTTTTGGATTTAATAAAAATTCTGATTTGGCGTAGGAAGATGAAGAGGGTCTATCAAATGAATCTGAAGACAACCTACTGGATCACTACCATGAAACTCGAGTTTTAGAGAGAGATTTCTCTGGTGACGATACAAAAATACCAAATTATGAATTCAGTCGAAGGAGTCAAAAGAATACTGTAAATCAGGAGGATATCAAAAGTACAGAATTAATCCAGCACAAATCGAGTGATGAAAGGAAACCAAAAGTCGAAATCAAAGGATTCAAAAGGGAGAAAAGCAAGGACATCATTTGTCTTGACTGTGGCAAATGCTTCAAACAAAAGAACACATACAATTACCATAAGCGATGGTAAGTGGTTAACACAGAATTGAACAGTTTACATCATTGAATACATGATTCACTCACATGAACGGTCTTTATTCACAGGCTCACGGGCAAAAATTTGTACAATTGTAATATGTGTGAAAAAGCATTTGTGAAAGCGGTTCAATTGAAAAGACATAAGCTAACCCATGATAATGACAACAAATTGTTCGAATGTTATCTGTGGTTATCGAAATTCGATCGAATACACGGACTAAGGATTCATTTTACAATATTACATACCACAAAGACCAAACGGAACCTTCGGTATAACTCGACTTTACGGAATACTCAAGAAATCGATCCGCTCATATGGCATTAAATAGTTTATGTCGCCACCTTTCCAAAACAGTATAGTATAGGCGTCGCTCCCCCTCGGATCCCCCCAAATCGGCGTATGTATAGGGAGGATATGAAAATCTCATGTGGCTACCGAAGGTCATTGCTCCGTACCTATAGGAGGTAGGGCATTAGTCACTAGAGCAAAAATATAGTACTCGTGAACCTTTCTAGCCATGTATATGGTGACCCTCCCGGGTCCCCCTTCATGAAAATATAGGTATTGCAAAAATTAATGGGAAAATGGAACTTTTCTTTTACTGTGCTTTGAGGAATATGAATATTGTATCGATTTTTTGTATCCTGAGGATAGCTTGGGTTCAGTACATCTCATTTCAGTACAAACATTTGCAACTTTTGGATTTACCGTTATTTTTTCCTTATTTTATGTGTACAACTTTCATATTTTTTTCAATACCTTTGCCTATAAGTCCTCAGATGTTACACATACGACACTGGTCTCTGAGGCAAAGTAATAGTACTTCATCAGAGCTCCACAGCGCACCGTACTAAAATGTACTAATCTGTACTAAAGTGTACTGAATTGTACTAAAACAATAAAAATGGTTCTGGTGCATTCTCAGTCAAAAAGTTGGCTGCACATCAACAATATGAGAAAACCAATCAGCTGTTGGATCTGTACAAGGAATGTGCGGATACGGAATTCGTGACTCTTCGTGAAATGTATAGCGACCGGAAGGAACGACCACTTTCGGACACTTCACATGATAAATTCAATAAATTGTATCAGACGTATGGAAGTGACAAGGACATTCAAAAACAAATACAAAGCAAATATATGGTCGTTAAAAGCAAATTGCCAGAAGCAGCTGCAAACCTACGACGTTTCGTTTATGTATTGGATGAAGAGCAGGAAAAAGAAAATGAATATGAGCCCGAAACGCAACGACAAATTGAACGACCGCCAGTCGTTAAAGCTGCTGCTCAAAAGTTCAACGATTGCTTGACACAATTAATCACGTATGGTTTGAATGAGGCAACCATTGCAATCGCACGAAGTACGCTACTTCCTCTGGAAAGAGGATTACTCAAAACGAAGCTATTCCAGGATTATTCCAAGGATGGACTTGCCTGGGCCGAACACATTTTGACTACAAACAATTTCATCAATGTGCTTATGAACTCGAATGAGGCCTGTGATGATTTTCTACGACCCGTTTGGTGGGTCGCTCGTATTGATGGCCAAAATGATCGCTACATTCTGATCTTGTTGAGCTCTTATGAATGTCATCACCTTTTGCCAGCTTTTCAGACCAGCACCAAATCAACATTACACACGTTTCGTCCACGTCTGAGTAAACTACACAGCGATTTAATGGATGAAGAAGATTTGAAAATCACAGGAAAATCTAAAACCGTCGACCTTTCAGTGAATGATTCGGCTCAAATCAAAATGTACTCCGGGTCGATGTATTTCAAGAACGAAGCACAACAAAGTGCTTACTGTCACTTTTTGGGCTTGATACCACGACCACGAACACTTGAACAAGAGCTGGCTTTTCAACGAGGAATTATCAAGCCGAATGGATTTGTTCCACCCGAACATCGTCGAGAGGCGTCTACAATCCAACAAGTTGGCCAATGTAAATTTCAACGCAATCCCGTCAATTTGGCCACCAAACTGATTGAAGCGCATCATGAATTTATGCGCAAAGAATCACATGCAGCTTTCATTCTGGAACGGGGATCTACAGAACGGAACACATTTTAAAGTGGAACGACAGCGCGGCAAAGAAACATACATCAAATAACCATACAACAGTACATTTCACATTGCTATTTTTTATTGAAACAAACGAACCAAAAATGATGAGAAAAAAAACAAAAAAAGCAGTTACCTTCATTGAACTCACACATGTAATAGCTATTTTTCATGAAAATTTGATCATTTTGACTGCCATAGAACTTTTTGCCAACAACAATTATCCTGACAAGTTTATAAAACGCACAATTTTTCTATATTTTACATATTTTGACTAAAAACTGCAACAAAAAAATTTAAAAAAAATTTATAAAATGACAAAAAAGTGGAAAACAAATACAATCTCAGTTTTCCCAATAAAACCATAGTTGTTTCATTTCAATTGAACGTTTGGTTGTGATTTGGTAATGTATGTGGTTACAATCTTGTCGGACTTTTTTTCTCTTTTCTATGAAATCAACGAAGGTTTATTTCAGTTTTTTTTTCAAAATCATTTGTAAAAACTTGGTTTTTATTCACCCATTAACCAATGGAGATTTGTGGCCAGATTTATAGATTTCGTAAATTTTTTAATATGCTCCGTAAAACACATAGCGAAGTACGATATAAATGCCATATGAATCGACACACCTTACACGATACACGATTCAGTCGACCACAGTCATTGAATACTCACATGAAAAGATTCCATCAGAACGGAGTGTCACAGTTGCACATGAGTCTGGAACCATTGAGAAATTTCAAAGAAAAATCTATTTGTTGAACAATAATCTTGTATTGTATTTTATTTACTTAGTCTATAGTATCAACACTGTAATGGTTCGATATTGGTTAATGTATCTTTTTTTTCATCAGAAATCAATGAAATCTTTCGAATTTTATTAATAAAAAAAGGACGCTTTTTTTTACAAAAAGACACTACAGAAGTAACAAATCACAACTATATTGATTCAGAATTTTTTTTGGATCGTACTAGCTATACTATTTCATATTAGTTTGTTTCTTCTATTCATTGGAATGGATTTTGATAAATCAGTTAAATTGAGTCATTGCCATTCAGATGCTTATCAGAGATTCTTTTTGATTCAGTTTATCCTTGATGACCGAAACCCGTTCATTCACCGCTTTGCCTTCTTTTCTTCTTTGCACATTTCACATCCATCTTTATCCGAGCAGTAGCGGCCTTCATATTTAATTTGTAATGTTGATTGATTGGCCTGTTGTATTTTTTGTGGTACATCAAGGACCATAGTTGTTTTGCAACCTTGAAGTGAAATCATTAAACTGCCCCGAATCCTTTTTTCAACCGCCTCCACCAACGATTTGAATGTTTCTTGGTCGATTTTCATGTTACGTACGCCAATCAACCAGACATTACACAACTTTTCACCAAACTGGATCATATTCACCAAACCATCCAGCGGAATATTATATCTTGCGTCTGGAAAAAAGCGAAGCGATAAGATTTCTAAGGATGGAAGCTCTCTTGAAATCGAAGCAAGATCAGTATCGGTCAGCTCTCCATTGAACATCAAGTCCAGTTCTTGCAATGTCTTCAGCTTTAAGATGCTCGGCAAATGTTTTCTTCCAAAATTGTGGGCCCAGATTAGTAAATTGCGTATGTCTTGTTTCTTTGCTGTCAATTCTTCGGCAAGTGCTGAAGCGATGCGACCGCTTGCAACAAACAACCGCAGCTTCTTCAATGATTTCAGTTCGGCTAATTTCAGCATACCTTGACAAGATTGTTTTCTTGGTAACACAGTTTTTCGCCCGTTGGTCCAAAAGTCCAATACTTCAACATTCTTGGCATGTTGAACAATATTCGCGATGATTTCATTATCTACTAGCGACGGAACACACAATTCTTTGATCTGTGGATTCTGTTGTAGCAACTGCCACAATACAGCCATTTTCCCATTTGTGTCAGCAACGAATCGAAGTTTCTTGAGGTTCAAAATATTGCATTTCGGCATATCGGCTTCCGTGTTTGTGTCAATGTGCATCTTTTCAAGCTGGGCGCAAGCAGCAAACATTGTCTTTGTATCGCCGATGAATTGGCATTCAACAAATTCCAAATGTTTCAATCGCTCAAACACCGATTTGAGCACGTTACAACTGATGGTTTTTCGAAAGGCGACAAAATGTTCCAATTTGGGACAGTACATTGCAATTGCATTTACATCGTTTGGTATGAGATGAACTCCTTCTTCTAGTATGAGCTTCTTTATGAAATGTCCAAATTTGATCAGAACACGACGAAAGAGTAACCGATAGAACCGGGAACCGATGAATATTTCAGAGTAACGCCGAGAAAAAACGTCTTGTGCGAGCAGTTTGAAGTGTTTGCAGACATTGGCCAAACGACAAAGGGATTCGATGCTCGACAGTTCGAATATTTTCAACAAACAGTAATCGTTCAATACCAACAGCGAATCGACGTCGATCGCTTGCTCATCTTCTTCATCATCTGATGTTGGATTAGAATGCATTAAATCACTTGATTTGCTTTGAGATTCCACGCTTTGTTCGACTGTTGTATAATTTGACTCGCTTCTTCGTAGTCGCTTACTTATAGGCTCCCCTTCGTCGGCCATTTTCAATTTGTTCGAGATTTTTCTCTGTAATCCATAAGAAATTTACAGTTTAGTGTTATACAATCATTGAATTAATGGAAAATTATTGTAAAAAAAATTAAAACTATTCCGAATTGCAATAAAAAAATCTCACTAGTAACTGCAGTGTCAAACGCGATTTTTTTTTTTTTCCGAAAATGTGTTTAAAATGGCATAAAATAAGTGATCTCCTTGAATCGTTTCGACAATGGACGCTGCTTTGCCCACTATGATGTCAACTTTTTGCGGTATTCGTATGATGTGATTCGTAGAATATGTATTGCTTCGAAGAGAACAGTTTGTGTACGGTGGATGTGATGGTCTTATTTGAATTTGACAGCAACTGAATGATTTTCGAAATTTAGTATGTTGCATCCAATCTAGTACGTCATTCTACTCTCATTCGAAGAGACCTTTTCTGGAGTTGTCATTCAATTGACATGCACTTGTTTTTATTATTCAGAAACATAAACAATTATTATCGGAAGCGTCTTAACGTGTGAAATTTTATGAAATGACAAAATTTCTCAAGTTTCCATCAAAACAAAAACCATTTGACGCTGCTATCGGTGACATTACCGAAACCGATCTATACGAGTATGCATTTCCAAGCGAAGACATCACATTTGAAGTGGTGAAAATTGTGAGTATTGTTGTTGTTATTTACTCATATTCTCTGATACTAAATTACAATTTTAAAAAAATCGGTTTTCAGGAAGATACTGAATGTGTTGTCAATGAAGCCGATGAGAAATGTATAAACGGTTTGGAGCCGAACACAAGTAATGAGACAGAAACGTCGACGAGGAAAAGTCAACGCACACCGAAAAAGAAAGTGATCGTAGAATATGGTTACATAGCGAAGCGGCGGAAAGCACATGCCAAAAAGGGATTGGCAAAGAATCATACACCCAAGATGAACAGGATCTCTCGGCGCCCAATCAAACCAACGCGTGTTACTCAACATCGTTCAATTGAGATGACCGTTCTCAACATAAAACAAGAAAAAACATCATCACAAACGAATCAAAACATCGAAAATCACAGCACAGTAACACAGAATGGTCTACGTAAATCAACTTTCATCGCACCAAAATCGGTACAAAGAATGGAAAAAAGACCCGGACATCAATTCCGATTTGATGGCATTGAACATTATCCAGATGCAGATGAAAGTTATGTGACAGGAACTAGATGTAAGAGAGAAGGATGCAAACTTAAATCGAAATTTTTTTGTTTAAAATGCCAAGTACATCTATGTATAAAACGAAACACGAATTGCTTCCAAATATTTCACACATTTTCGACCGGCCATAAAATATAGCAAATAGACATGTATGCTTCTTAGGGACATTCGACCGAAGATTAATGCATTTTGAAATTAGTCATGGAAAGTAAATAAGCATTCGAATCTTAAGCAAAGATCTGTAATTTATTTCTCACTCACTCATTAAATTGCATTGATTTACTGAACACACCAACTGAATTTGGTTGTTCAAATTTACATATTCTGCATTTTTTCTTGTTTTCAATGTTACATTCTAGTCTTGTACAAACAATTTGTTCACAATAGCTGTGATCCATTTGGTCGACACAAAGATGTTTGAAATCATTTCAAAACATAAATCAGCATCAGAAATTTTTGTTTCAGCAACACCATCGTTGGGAATATTCCGAATCTCTGCAAATTGAAAAGGTGCCGAATCTCTTCAAAAATGCAAAAAAACGCTGATAAAAGTACTTTGCTTCTTTATTCTTGATTCGCAATTTCATTTACATTTTCATGTCTTAAAATTAAACATTTTGAATCGATTTCTGTTACCTTAAGAAAGACCTCATTTTTAGATAATTTTGAATCGATTTAATGAGGTCGTTGCAGCAACAACTTTCCCATGCACGCTTATTGTATGTTTCGTGAGCAGTTTCCGTTCAGAAAAGACCTTCTCACAGATCGAACAAATGTGTTTTTTGGAATAAATTTTGTGTACGCTAAATTTATGGCGTTTCAAATCGATGCTATCCCTGTACGCTTGTTGGCATCCCTCAATGTCGCAAACGTACCTATAAAAGCAAAAAGAAAAAGAAAAGTTAAAATCTAAATATGTATTGTTATGAAAATAGAAACAATCACATTTATATGTACTCAACGCACGGTTTTTTCCCGCTATGAATCATAAGGTGCCGATATAGCATGCCGCTTCGTCCGAAGCATTTGTTGCATTGATCACACTTCCAAGGCTTTTCACCCGTATGACTATGGATATGATCTTTCAATGAAGATTTTGAAGCCATGGCTTTACCGCAGTGGTTGCAAATAAATTTTCTCTTCTCGTTGTCCGGATGAGTACTTGTATGACGCATAAATTCTCTACGATCTTCAAACACTAGATTACAACCTTTGAATCGGCATGTGATGACAGGCTTTTTGCCATGCCTTTCCCGATGTTCCAGCATATATTTAACGTCGGCGAACACATGTCCACATATATTGCACGCGGCATCTTTTTCGTGGTGCTTCAAGTGCAATCGTAGCTCATGTTTCGTAGACAATTTTTTATCACAAAAACTGCACGCAAACAATTGTTTCTTCTCTCTTTGATGACTCAATCGATGTTGGGCCAGCATTTCTTCGGTGCAGAATGTTTTTTTGCATATTTCGCACTCCCTCATTGCGTCTGGGTGGATATTTTGCATGTGACCCATAACTCCAGCATTTGATTTGAAAATTTTATCACATCCGTCGATAGGACATTTCATTCGTTTATTTGTATGTACTCCTTGCATGTGAGCCAACAGGCAAGTTCGCGACGAGAATTTTTTATTGCATATAGTACACGCCAGTTCACTTTTCTCTTCGTTATTGAGTTGGATTTTAGTTATATTGGCGAGATGATCTTGTGTTTTCCTTTCAATTGGCTTGTTTAGCCTTGCATGTTTATCCATATGAAGTCCTAAGCTCGACTTGAATGCAAAACCTTGGCCACAGCCATCAAAGCTACACTTATGCTGATAACTTTCGGGATGACCTCTCATATGCAACAATAAATCATGTGGTTGACGAAACTTCTCTTCACAAATATTACACGGATGTTCTTGCTTCTCTTCGTTGTGCTCCTTCATAATGTGCTTTGCCAACCACATCTCGAATTCAAAATCCAAATTGCAATACTCGCACATCCAGTCGATCGGAATTGATGCGTTCATACCATCTTCATAGTCTTCGATACACAGTTCCTCTTGTTCGACCGTTTCACCAGGAATTACATCGATATCTGCATGAGCTATTCTTCGATGCCATCTGTATTGATGCACTCTGGCGTATGATTTATCGCATAATTTGCACTTGTATTCTTTACCCTGATGCGTTTCTAGATGACGTTTCAATACTTTTCGATTTGAGAAATTCCTATTGCAAATTGGACATTCCAACTTTGCCAGTTGTTCTTTCGTCAAAATTATTTCCACACCATCGATTTCAATGTAATCATTTGGATTAGCGCACTTGGTTGGCAAGTGCCGTTTTTTATGCTCGTTCCTATTGCGTTTATCCGAAAAGGCTCTGCCGCATACATCGCAAACATACCTACAAAAGCAAAGAAAAAATGAGAGTAAAATGGAAATAATAATATGTAAATATTCCATTCACTTCAACGTACGGTTTGAGACCACGGTGAATGTTCATATGGTATTTTAATCCAGTTCTACAGACAATTCTCTTATTGCATATTTCACATGTTCCTCCTGTTCCCGTCCGTTTCTCTATCGCTTGAGATTCATTTTGTTGCTGTTGTTCATCGTCTTTTTGAACGTCTTTCGGATTTAACTCAATCGTATCATTATCATTGTCACCGCGTGTATTTTCCATCGTTGCTAATGGCATCGGATGATCTTCAACATTGTTGTCCAAATTTGTCAAAGTATTATCTTCACTGCGCGTGTTTCCATTGTCCTCATTGAATTCGCATTCCATTTGAGAATAGCTCTCATCTTTTGGCTCCACCAAATGGGAAATATGGCTGATTTGTCTTTCCGTGGTACTAATTCCTCCATTTGATTCATTTGTTTCATTTTGCTTCCGATTTCTTGACGATTTTCGAGTCCTGGATGTTGTCGCATCATCGTTTCTCATTTTGTGTATCGACGATTTGACATGTTTATGGAGATTTCGCACATCTGCAAATGCTGCGTTACATGTGACACACTTATACGGTTTGAGACCCCGGTGAATGTTCATGTGAAATTTTAAGGATCTTCTAGTCATAACTTTACCGCATATTGGACACATGTCAGTGTCAGTTTTTTTTGAATTCGTGTCTTCCCCTTGACAGCCTGCAAAGCTATTATCACCACATTCATCGGGCTCACTTTCCATAATATATTCACTCTGAATAATTTCATGTGAGTTATCTCCAACGAATCCAGGGAGTATGATTTGTTCGGGTTGGAATTCATTTGGTCGTGCAAAAGAATTTATCACCGTTATGTTGTCTTCAGCCTGTGTTTCATTTGATCCACTAGAAATCGGATCAATCTCATTGCTGGTCATTGGGTTCGCTTCATTTTGTTTGCTCTTTCTGGTCGATTTCCTAGTACTGGATGTTGTCGTATTATCGTTTCCCATTTTGTGATACCACGTTTTGACATGTTTTTGGAGATTTCGCACATCTGCAAATGCATCGTCACATGTGGCACATTTATATGGTTTGATGCCTCGGTGAATATTCATGTGAAATTTGAAGGATCTTTTAGTCATAATTTTACTGCATATTGGGCACTTTTCAGTGTATGTTTTCTTTGAAGTCGCATCTTTTGCTTGACGTACTGCAGAACTATACCTGACACATTCATCAGGCTCATTTTCCATGATGAATTCATTGTGAATAATATCCTGTGGTTTATGTTCGATGAATTCGGGTAGAAATATTGGTTCAGGTTGGAATTCATTTGGTCTCGCAAAAGCATTTATTCCCATTAGTTGGTCTTCAGCCTGTGTTGCACACATTCCACTGAAAATTGGATCAATCTCAACGCTTGCCGTTGGCTTTGACTCGTTTTCAATACAGTTTTCATGCAACACATTATTGAAATTGATTGCAACAAAATTCGGCACAATCACTGTTTCTGCTGTATATTCATTGCCTACATCGGTGTTCAGTTCAGTTTTTGGTATGGCATTATGTAAATGCTCACTGTACCATGTGTCTCCGATTCGAATCAAACTCTGTTGGCATACTGAACAAGAAGATTGTTGAAAATGATTGAGAATATGTGTATTTCGTTCAGTCGTTGTTCGAAATGTGAGTAGACAAATTTCGCATTTTACTGTCTCACACACTAGAAATAAACAATTACATTAATATAGACATAAATGTACTTTTCATGATAAAAAATATGACATTTTAGGAAGAAAACAAAACTTTTTAGCAATTTTACCATCAGCTGTGTAATTTTGCAGCAACAAATTTTCTGTGGCCATCGTTTAGTTTTATTTGTGGAAATTTCATTCACCTCTTGGAAAGCAAACATTTTTATTTGACGTTTGTTTGCTGACATTCAACTGTCAACGTAGTAGACCATGAGCAACTGTCAAACGGTGGAATTTGAACGCAAACACCAGCGGAGGTACGTTATACGCAAGCTATAAACGAATTTCGCATGCATATTATGATTTGTCATGCAGATACAGTGTTAGCTTTAATTAAATCTTCTGAGATTAGTGAAATCGTATCTAATTCTCTTGGGATTGTTCATTCAATTCATTTGGCTGTTGTGATTTCCACATTGCTTTGCTCCATAATATCCACTCACAAACTCGGTCATCAGATTAAGAGCCTGAATATGAATCTAGTTCAACTGGAATTTGAACCTGACGGAAACAATAAATTATAATACCATTTGATAACGGATAATTGAAACAAAATTTCCGATTAAATTACGTCTATTAAAATAAGTCGATCGTGAGCGTTAATCGTCAGTAAATTGCACCCATAAAATTATCTTGGTCGAACAGACTGGATAATATTTTGAACGTGATTGTTAATCGAGCTAAAATCGTGTGTGATGAACAGTTTAACACTTGAGTTCTTTTTTTCTCCATAAGTTTAATACGATTTATTCGAAACGATTGACGTAATCATGATCAACACATTTAATGCCTTCTAAAGAGACTAAGTGAAACGCTTTGTCTTAACGTTGTACTATTTTATTGATGTGTTTTCAGCTTACAAATAGACAATAGGATAGGGCACTTAATTTACTGTACATATATATTTTACATTTCTATATCGTTCTTTCGACTGAATTCACTTTTTCACTGGATGAACCATTACTTTTTGTATTTTGTTCTTTCAATTTTAATGGGTCGTTCCAATCTTGAATCTCTCCGGAGGCAAATATGTCGTACAAAATCGTCGTAACGACAAATAACACGAAAGTAATCCAAAAGACGATTCTCCACTCGGTTAAATATGACTGCACCAATGATAGGAAGAATATTGTGTTGGATTAGTAATGGGTAGGACTAAGAACAGAATCTGTTTGAAAAATTCACTTACATTTGGTGTTAAAACACCAACAATGTATGGTCCAACGACGCCTGCCAAACTTCCGGTTCCGTTTGCAATGGCCATGATAACACCAGCGTAGTTTGGTGCAATATCTAAGCTATTAGCTTTGATACCTGAGTAGAATGTTCCCATGAAGCCCATACCAAGCGTGAACATTGCCACCACGGCAACTCGGTCACATCCAGCATAGGAAGCTAACACAACAAAAACTCCTGGCCCGATAGCGGCTTCATGTAATGAAATACAAAATTTTTATTAATAAAAATGATTCATTTTGAAATGAATGCTTCTGATAATAATCGACCATCGGAACTAACCAATTGACGTAAACAATTTTCGTGAGTTGGTGATCCCCAGATATTTTCGTTTGATAAGATAATCACTCAAGACGCCAGTGAATAGTGCAACGATCCACAAGACAACGTACGGCACCGATGTGTATAGTCCATTTTTCTTGATGGAAAATCTCAAAACGTCATTCATGTACTTTGGCAAATCGTTGATAATAATGAAAAGTCCCCAATTGTGACCGATTTGTGCAAATATTAACGCTATCACAGCGGGGCATGTCAATAATTTACGCCACGGTGTTGACGGTAGATCGTCGCGTCGTTTCAATTCGCCAAGCTCACGGGTTAAATACTGCTTTTCTTTTTCTGTTATGAACGGATGACTTTCAGGATTATTGTAGCAAATGAAGTACTGTAGAAAGAGAAATAAGGCATAATAACAGAATGGGGTTCATTTTTCAAATTTCATCATTTTCCAAACAAATAGAAAACTTACAAAGATTATACACCAAATGATTGCGGCTCCTCCAAACCAATAGAAAACTGATGTCCAGCCGTAGTTACTGATGAGCAAACCAGAAATCGACGATCCGAAAATCGAACCCAACATTCCACCAGAATATACAACAGTTGCTGTGATGCTGCGCTCTTTCAAAGGGGTCCACGCCGCAAGCAATGTATTGCCTGATAAAAATGTTAAACGGTCTAAATATTGCTATTAAATTGGAATTTATTTCACACGACTTACAACTCGGAAATATAATGCCTTCTCCCATCCCAATTATAATACGGAATATGATCAACACTGTACTTCCACCTAAATCAGTCAATGAATAAATTATTGTTTTTTTTTATTTGTTCGTCTATTGTTTTGTTTTTCGTTGCATTCACTCACCATAGGAGATACCCATTGGTGTAAACACTGTAAAAACGGTAGCGATTACAACACCAAGCAATAGAGTGTATTTTCCGCCAACTTTGGCCGACAGCAGTCCTCCTGGAACTTGATGAGGAAATGCGGAAAGTCAATATTCATGATATTCACAATATTCGAAATGGGAAAAGTCAATATTCACCATGAGTCAGTATATAGCCCCAATAGAATGATGACAAAATTAATCCTTGCAGCTCTTGCGACCAATCATAGCGATCTGTGGTCACTGAAACGACGGTCGGTATCGGTTGATTGTTTTCAATGGCAACCAATTCATCTTCGTACGGTGGGCAAACATCTGGATTCGTAATAATCGAACCATTTTCATGTGCATGGGGTGGTATAACCATTTGAGTGATCGCATACGACAACGATATACGTAGCATATACGCTAAAGCTACGGCAGAGAATGCCATCAACGCCGACACAACTCGTTGGGGTATGATGAAACCTTTATAAATTTTTTTTGAATGTTAATGACTTCAATTATTTACGTCAATCACCGAAAATAAAAACAAAATGTTCCCGTGTTTCAGCAAATTTCCACTGGATATATCCGCCTATTTATAAATTCATCTTATCACAACATTCCTATCATCATTTGTAAAGATTAAACGTATTTGCATTTCATTTCGTCTATAATTAAAGTAACAACAACAACAAGTATTTGCAATCTTCTTCTTCTTTTTTTATCTCGGCAAACAATTGATTTATTTGTTCCGAACAACAATTTGAATTACTCCGAAAATAGAGATGCTATTAACCGTTGCGGCTCGGACAGCGTACCAAAAGAAATATTAACACTAAAAATTAATCTAAATTTAGAACGCTATCATAAAGCGTATCAATTAGATTAAAAAATTACCTTAGTCTAAATTAGTTATTTTCCATCAGCCGACGATCGCGCCACTCGCTTATTATTCCATAACACATTTATGGGCAACAATTCAGCTAAATAGCACACATTTTCAATGTGATACAGATGAATAATGATTTGCAGAAAATGTGTTCACTTCTTCGATGTGAAGATATTTAGATTGAGTGCAAACAACTGTTTAACCGCATGCACTTAAATCGTTTAATAAACCAATACGCGATAAAGAAGAAAAGATTTTGTGATATCAATATTCCGTCGGATTCAAAAGAATCAAAATGTTTGTATGTTTTTTGTAATACTTGGAATCGGCTCCAGACTGTCTGATTACAAATAAATGCATGCTTAACAGACAGATTAAATGGAAATTTTCATTTTGCTTGCTTTCGAAACAATAACTCTGTCTCTCACTGTCGTTGGCTATGTCAGAATTTTGAAATTCAATGCCAGAAACGATATAAATACGAAGAAGCTTTGTTTCTCAGACAGTTCTGTAGAACTCGATACGATTGCGTTGCACTCTTGACGTAACACGTTTGAACAAATCTTGAAATTTTTATATAGCAACCCATTAAAAACAGACGTAAATTCACGTTTTTTTTCGGCAAATTGTTGTTTTTAAAGAAAAAATCTCGAATTATAGGTTTAGCAACTCTTTCTTTTCTTCATAATTTTTATACTCTTGTTATTCATTTGAAAAAGAAATCATTGCCATGGGTAATCGTGTTCAAGCTCCCACAAATCATATCATTAACAAAAATGCCTGAACCTTTAGATTTACTTCATAAAGTATTCACAGTTCAATTGTGTAGATTGCATGCACCATTGTTCGCGTATAATTCTACTTTGGATGTGCGTTCTTACGAGAAAAAAAGGCAACATACATAGTACATTACAATCGATAAACGTAGACTTAGCGGTCATCGATTGTTTCAAACGAGAAAAAAAAATTCGACGAAATGAAAACACAACAACAACTGAGTACAAATTGTAATGTTATCATTTTCACATTTTTCCATCCATTTAAATTCACCTTGAATACGTTATTTCGCGTTTCAGTTTCCGCTGTCTACCCATACACATTGATTCGCGGAGAGCTTTGAACAACGTCAAAGCATCACTTAAGAATGCGTTTCTACATGCACACTGAAAACGGTACATGGAAACTAGACGTTTGTGTTTTCGTTCCCTGAAAATTTATGTTACCACTGATACGTTGCTTTTGTTTCAATAAAAATTTATTTGAAAGCAATTATATTTATATCTTCGATTTTTTTTTCCATATAGCATTCAAACGTTGAGTCGGATCAAATTGATTTCATTGTTTAGTGATTTAAAACTATATCGTAAACTCGAGACAAACTCGATAGAAATTCCTTTGAATATTTTAACGGAATTTACGACAGTTCAATCAAATAAATCAGATGTCAACGATTCAATCGAATAAAATTTATGGCGAATGGGAAAAGTGATTTAAAACAGCTGACCAAATGCAGAGTTGAAGCTATTTAGGGAAACCGGTATTTGCAATCGAAAAACTCTTAAGTTTTGTGAATGAATAATTGCAAAAAAAAAATCGAAATGATTCATAGTGATACCTAATTGCAATCCCAAAAGAATTTATTGTAATTAGAGAAAAAGACAAAAGATTCACTCACATCGTGTAATAAATTGTTGTAACGATGACGAAACCATCTTTTCGAATTGATTTATTCACTAAATCCCGACGAAAAATATTCTATTTACACTAAAATTAATCGAAATTATCACAATATAATTTTGAAAATTTATTGTAAATCCAACGTCTAACCCAATTAGATTGTTATTAATTTTTTGTGTGAAAAGCAAACATGTTTAACATTCAATTGAAATTCGATCTTCGTGTAGTTTATTGAAAAAATTTCCGCTGAGTGCTAGACTCAATAGACACCGTTCAGAACAATGTCGAGATGTAATCGTTCGGAAGATTGTATTTCACCGACAACTGTTCACCTTAACGATCAACTGAGAACTGTGCTGAAATTTGAGATTACGTTACATGAAATATTCATTCCTTTCGGCTCTGTGTGACGGATAATAACAATGCAAGATAAAATTGAATATAAACTCCGTGAACCTTTTTGTGATGTACACGCTCCGTGTTTTTGATTTTAATGGTTTGATTATTTATTTCGTCCATATGTTTATTATCTACATGTGCGACAAAGTGTAAACAATTTTCAACGCATAACTTTCGCCACACTTCATCCACGCAACTTTTGATTAGACAACTCAGAAGCGTCGGGTAATAATTCCCATCGATAATTTTGCGCATGCATACGTCTTGAAAAGAAGGTCAATTTTTTGCCATGTGATTGTTATACAATTTATGACAATGATAAAAATCGACTCGTTCAAAAGCCTTTAATTTGCTACAAATGGTCGTTATTGTCTGAAAAATTATACCTTTTGTCACCGGTGCCCTATCAATTGGCTCATAATCGCCACGTCTGTAGCTTCTGCCTTTCATCTCAATGCCGTTTTTACAATCTGCAAACAGTGTCCTTTTAATTGTTCCACGATTATTGTCACACAATTTTTTAATACCTTACTTGATATTCACTTAGCCGCACGAATAGCAAATGTTTGACTGTCTCGGAACACATGAAAATCAAGACAAAACTTACACTCCAATACATGCTACCACTAGAAGCCGTATGAATCTATCAATGATTTGTGTTTGAGTGTATTAAATGCCATTCCTTTAATTCATATCAATTTCGTTTGTGTCATGATATTCGTTCAATTGCATTTTCAAATGGATTGGACAGCACGGACTGACTGGCTTATCAATATTATTATCTTTGAATATCAGGTGAATGGAATAATTTGATTTTGATAAAACAATAATTCAAAACATTTGTTATAGATAGGAACGTGTTGACATTGTAGCACACATTATTTCTAAGTCAGAAAGTGCGTACGTTCGTTCGTTTGTTTCAACCAACAAACAAATTAGTCAATGGAAAATATCATTGATGGTTTTTGGTTCCAAATTTAAAAAAAGTTTATCCGTAATTATATACATTTTTGTTTGTTCTAGTTAAACGTGTGATTTTATTTGAAAAATGTGAAAAATACCGAATTTTATATTCAATTGAATACCATAATTTGATAAGAAAAAATTATGCCGCTTCTTTATATATCGTATTGTGTTTATTTATTAATTAGCAATGTTTACTCATGCTATCACTCATTTTGATCAGTCTCAAGAGAAGTCTGGTGGGGGCAAGTAAAATCTAACATTGCTTATATCTTATATGTGTTCGGGAAATATTGCAAGTCACTAAAAAGTGAGTTCCGTAGCGGTAATTAAATATAGAAACTTTTCAAAGGAAAACTACAAGAGGAGATAATTGGTTACAATTTTTGTTTGATCCCATCAACTGCGATGTGTTGAAAGTTGGATTTTTCTTTCTGAAATATAGAAAATAAAGTGAATCATCAAAAAAAACGTTTTATTATTGATAAATTAACAATCTTAGTTGTCACATTTTTATCAATGCTAGAGGCGGTTTGTATATGATTCTTGAAAAGTGCATAATATTTCGGAAAACATGGCCAACATTGATATTCATTGAACGTTACGTATTTTCATTTCTTGGTGTTGCTTTCAAAATCTTATTGCCTCAAACAATCCTTACTGATAATGTATTTAACGCCTAAAACTATGCTTCACAAGCATTTTATTGCATATTCGGGCAGATAAAAGCTTTAGAAAAGGATTTCAAACACGGTAAACGGTTTGTTCTTCAATATATTAAAATTTCCCGATTTGAATGTTGAACAATTTATTCTCTGATGTTCTTACTGATGTTTTTATCTGATGATTCAACCCATCTTAATTATTTTGAAATTCAATTGGGTAATAAGTTATACCCAGACATTCCGTGTGACTGCATATCGAGCTGAGCTATTTACAAATAGCTGGCTGTTTGGTATATTTTCATTTTGTGACTATCGAGCCATGCAAATTCATGTGAGATGATAAATTTGGGACACATATTTCCATCCTTTCCATGAATTTGTGTCATAAATTTTTCATCTCACATGAATTTGCATGGTTCGATAGTCAAAAAACCAAAATGTACCAAACAGCCAGCTATTTGTAAATAGCTCAGCTCAATATGCAGCCTACGGAATGTCTGGTTATACCATTCTACGTGTTCTACTTTATGGAAGATTATCACAATCTATGTTTTTGAAAGTGTCCTACGTTAAAGTATGAGAAAAATCGCATGTTGTTATTCTGCCAATGATTGTCAACCTTGTTAACAACACTGACGTCTTCTATCACATATATGTACACAATAAGTTGTTATTCGTTGTACTGAATTCAAAGCTTCCTCACATTTTATAAAATATGAACTAATATTTGAATCGAATTGTTCATCGACATAAAGTATTTGAATCAGCCTCAATCCATTCGGAGGAGTAATAAGACCAAGAGGTAAGAGCGATAATAGAATAAATGCTTAAGCAATAAATTGATTGTTATGACCTCTTTATCTTTGAACGTGCCTCATGACAACAAACCGTTCAGGTTTGGTTTACAATTACCATGTGAAAACTACTTTGGTTTTTTTTTTGTAAAATATAAGTTTAGAAAATTAGAAAAAACTGAAGAAAAAAACAATTGAGCGAAACTTGGTAAAAATTAAAAATTCAAATTTCTTTGAAAAACAAATACATGCATGTATTGTGAACCCATGGGTTCATAAAAGCCAATTGTTTTCTGTCAGTGGTACAGCGACAGGAATAGCTTCAGGTAACAATTTCAGGACCTTTACTAACCACTGTGATCGCCTTTATATACCTGCAGACGAAGTGGAACAAAACACAATGCAGACAGTCGGTGCACGAGTAAGTCATACGCCTGAGCTTCGTAGAGCTAAATTTGGAAAATAGAAAGAAAGTGAACAAAAAATATAATTTCCAGTAAAAATGTGTATCGAAAATTCAACAAATAAAGGTAAGTTCAACTCTTCTTAAATAATATCCTTTCAATATTCAATTTGAAATGAAAAATGTGTATATTTAAGTGCTATTATTGCAATTTAAACTCTTATTTTTTTGAAAACGAAAAATTTGACTGTAGTCAAAAGAGAAAATCAAGCTGAAGAAACTGGAAATGAAAGCGATTCATGGATCGAGGTTTCAGCCGAAGAAGATGAGATCGATTCAGTGAGTGGTACATCAAGCGAAGAGGAAGATAGTGACAGTGAATCATCGGACGACAAATCAACTGAAGACGATGAGAGTGAGAAAATACCCCAAGTTATTATTGCAGGAGAGACAGTTCATGATCGTGCAATGTTCACCTATCACAACGAGGTTAAAGTAACTGTTAAGGATTGCTTATTTTATGATTCCATCGAATTCATTTTCTACGATGCTGCCACGGTGAATTTTGAAAATTGCACTTTTTCGGATAGCAAAACCGTCACCTTCCATGAAAATTCCACATTAAATTGTCAGCAGATTAACTGCTCGGGACCAGCTGTATACAAACACTATGCAGAACTTCACATGAATTTCCAAGGATGCGATTTCTTCGATAGTAAAAAGTGCACTTATGAGAAGAAAAACACTTCAAGCGAAACAGAAAATAAGCCACATAAATCAACACAGTGTCAAAGCAACAACAAACAATTTTCAGAGTTGGAGGTCTTTGTTACGAATTTGAATGCTATTTTCAAAAGTTTTTGCAATTTCATTGAACGTTTGCTTAGCGATGATGGATCCGAACTCATAAGACTCATTGGTTTTTTCAATAATATAATTTTACCGTTGATTCTCATATGCTTGATTGGTTTTTTTTGTTGCATCATATATAAGAAACATTGACTTCGCAAAAGTGCTCATTTCGAGAAAAACAAATGAAATGAAAGAAAGATGGAAGAAGCTATGTAATAAGTGGTATAAGAAATGTTGGAATTTGGACATACTTCAGTCAAAGTCAATGTAATTTCGAGTCGTTTTATTTTGTCAAGTGTAAACGTAGTAGACTGATGTTGACAATATTTTAGTACAAATAGCTATATGCTTGCAAGTGGCGCATCGTAGGTATGAAAATATCAACTATAGAATATGAGCATCAGGACCTTAACCAAGCATAATGATCATCCTTAAATACCTGTACACAAAGTACAATGCATTCAGCAGTCAGTCGATGCACGTTAAAAATTATCCATCAGAACATTTAACATAGACAGTGTCAAAACTTGAATCTATTGACTTATAAGTAAATAGCAAATAAACAGATATTATCCAAAACGAAAAATTTGTTTGCAAAATCTATCAAATCCATGTAAGTTTATCGTATTAAAAATAATCAAAAAAAAAAGTATTGGGACTTGTGTGCTCGGTTTTCACAATTTAAATATTTTTGTAAACAGCGAATGTGGAAGAAGTTAAGGAGACACACGAAAGTAACGAAACTGATGCAAGCCAACATGAAAGTGATTCATCGAGCAATATGTCCACTGAAGAAATTGAGAAAATAGCCTCCGTTGTTATTGCTGGAGAAAATTTTTCCGGTAGCAAATCGTTTGTCTATCACAGAAAGGTTGAAGTAACTGTTAGAGATTGTTCATTTCGTGGTTCTCTTAAATTCATATTCCATGATGATGCTGCCATAAAATTTTAAAAAAACCATTGTTACGGATCGGTATATTTTGAAGGTTATGGACAGCTCCAGACCGAATTCAAAGAGTGTAATAAAAATAAAAGTAATTTTCCATAAAAATTCGTCATTAAATTGTGAGGGAAATGTTTGCTTCGGGTCGGCTTCATACAAGGGCCATGCCGAACTTTGTACGAAATTCCAGAGATGTGATTTCCATGCAAGCAAAAAGTGTTTTGCTGCATCATTGGTTGTCGATCTACATCCTGCATTGGTTGTCGATCTACATCCCGATAATACATTCCATTATCTCAAGGAATTAGTTTGCACTCTCAGAGAAGTATTATGCATTTCAAAAAAAGACAAAATTGTACATTTATTAGTCTTGTTTATTATTTTCATGGTTATTATATTATTCATCAACAAAATGCCCAATACGCATGGAAGGATTGTAAATTTAAATGGAAACGAAGAGGAGCATTATTATCAAGAGTATGATGAAATTGGAAAAGTAATCGAGTTCAATATCAATGGAGAAACACATTTCTCACCAAAAACCTATAATTTTGATGAAAAAGTTAATGTAACGTTTCGTGAATCCACGTTCATGGGTGCAGTTAAATTTGTATTTCATGATGATGCAAATTTGATAGTCACCGGAACCACATGTATGGGATCATTCGAAGTTGAAGGCAATGGCAAACTTAATGTCAATTTTGAAGGAAGCACGTTCCTTGGAAGTATCACGGTTATCTTTTATCAAGATGGTGTTCTGAATTGCATAGGGAGCACTTATATGGGACGGACTACGTTTGAAAATTACGGAAAACTTCAAAAAGAATACAGCGGATGTGTATTTATGGGTTAAACAACCTTCGACAATTTTTTCTAGAATCAATTCAATTCGGATCTTTATATTGAAAATCACTGTACTCAAATCCGTATTTTCATATTTTTCTACATTTTTCATATGCAGCCTTATTTTGATAATACAAATCGACAAATAAAAATGATGAAACAAATTCGAGAAAAAAATATTCCAGTGCATTTTATTAAACCCACGACAATCACTTTTTATTCAGTTTTTATTTCACATTAGCGTTGCTCGGTATGTTAAAATATTAGTTTCTTAGTAATGCTTACTAACACCAATGCAAGTTGTTGAAACGAAACAATCGGTTTATGTGGAACCAATCAATTATTATATGCACAAATCGCACAGCGGTTCAAATTATAATTAAAGTAAGCATATATACTTGCGTCTTCCACTCAGACTGTTAGTTTGAAAAGGAAGTTGAAAGCATTCAAATTTACAAGAAGAATCCAAAAAAAGAAGACGAAATGATTTATACTTGTGGCAATCTTGTTTTAATACTTTTGATCCTGACCGTCACCACATCGGATAAAATTAAGAAAAAAAACGAAGGAGGTCTACATCCACGATCAAAACATTACAACTGATATAACCTATACTTTCGATGAAGAAGTTTATGTAGAGGTTATAATCCACTATTTCGGCTAATGTTATATTCCTATTTGAAAAGAAGTCAACTTTGATCGTCCAAGCGACTAATTGTACGGGATCATTTACAGTCGAAGGTCATGGCCAACTTGAAACTATTTTTGAATTCAACACATTCTCAGGAGACGACACAGCTTCCCTTCATGAAGATGGTATTATCTTTTGCAGACTTGGTACATTTAATGAATTTAAGATTGAACATCACAAAAATATTATCGAAAATATCGACGGTTGTGATGGAATGAGTGTGAATAAAGTCTGAAGTCATACAAAGCTTGACCATTTTTTGTGAACATCATTTCAAATTCTTTAATCGAAAATTCTTTTTGCCTTAATGCATAATTTCATATTCTTGTACGTTTTTCAAATACAGTTCAATTTGGATGGCAATATACGGATATAAAAAAAACTCTGATATTTATTCAGTGTAAATCGTGTTCAATGTTTTTTTCATTCATATTAAAAAACGAAAAAAAATCGATAAATAAAAATGATCAAAACTGCGGAGAAAAACTGTTTCAGTTGATGCAAGTTGTTGAAACAAAACAATCGGTTTATGTGGAACCAATCAATTGTTTGCACAAATCGCATATTTTGCATATATATTTTGATGTGGCCAATTCGATTGGCTTGTTTTTGTATTGCCAGAACACTTGTGTCTTAATCACAGCGCACACTTGTGCTACCTGTTGTATTGCCTCCCTTTAGTTCCGAGAGTAAAAATGCAAAAAAATCAATTTTCTAAATCGATATATTTCGCATTCATTGAATCCATCTTCAGGATCTGGAAAATGAAATCGATAAATAATTGCTACAATCTGGTTTTGAATAGTTATTGTTGATTCCATAATGATTAGAGTATGGCGAGCTAATTTTGATGCATCCAATTCAATTGGATTGCCGAAACGGAACACTTGTTTCCTAATCAAAGCGCACACTTGTGCTATCTAATTAAGCATATATACTTGCGTCTTCCACTCAGACTGTTAGTTCAAAAGGGAAGTTGAAGGGTGTAAAAGCATTAAAATTTGCAAGAAAATCCAACAAGTAGACAAAATGATTTATACTTGTGGCAATTTTGTCTTAATATTTTTGATGCTGACCGGCGCATCGGCTACAAGTGAAAAAATAAAGAGGGTCACATTTAATGGTCAAAACATTACAGCAAATAAAATATATACTTTCAATGAAAAAGTGTTTGTAACGGTTATCAAAACCACTATTACGGGTAATGTTAAATTCACATTTGAGAAGGATACAACTTTGATTGTCCAGATAACCACCTGTACAGGATCATTTACAGTCGAGGGGCGTGGCCAACTTTCAACTAATTTTCAATTCAACACATTCTCAAGAGGCGCCAAAGTCACCTTCGATGAAGGTGGTGGTATCTTTTGCAGATATAGTACATGTAATGATTTAAGGTTGAACATCACAAACCAATTACCAAAGATATCGTAAATTGTAAGGGAATCAACGTGAATTGAAAAATAAACTCTGAACTCATTCAATGTTTTACCATTTTTTCAAATTCGTTTATCGCAAATTATTTTCGCCTTAATACATAAATTCATATTCTTGAACGCTTTCCAAATACAGTTTAATTTGGATGTGCACTTGAATGTGTTTGCGATACGAACGCAAGCCGCAATCGAAGACGTAGATGGGTAAAGCGACGCGGATGTGTTGTGGTTGTCGTGTTGCTAGTGAGCGACGTACACATAGGTTGGTCGAAATTCCTCTAATTTCAATGTCAAATGCACCAGACAAATCTAATAGCGCCAAATTGCACTGTCTAATTGTATGGACACAACTAATTTATCCGTGTCTGCTGTCATTAAGCCTTTACCTTCCACAAAGAAAAACATATATTTCCACTGAAAAAAGAATGCAAATTACTTCTAAGCTGTCAAAAAACCATTAAACACACTGGCCAAATGTTTGCCATCTCCAAAATGAATTGAACACTACACCAAAAATTGATTTGTCTTATTACACAATATACTTTTATTTTTGTGATTTCATGCCTTTTTGTATCATACTCTGATTAAATACATGTTGTGGTTGAAAAATTTCATTACAAAAAACAAATCATATGAGGGATAGAAACAGAAAAAAAAAGATTAATTTACTTATTATAAGTGAAATTCCAATGATTTTGTATGCTTCAGCTGAGTTGGTGTTTGGTAGCAATACTTCAAAATCGAAATGAGTTGCTTGGTGCGTGTTTGTTGAGTTGGCTTATGAACCGACGATGATGTTGTTAATTGGAATATGAATGAGTTTGACGAAGAAACCGATGAAGCCCATAATACAGAAACCGATGGCTGTGGCAATTGCAATTTTCTGGAATTCACGACGATCCGGCTTTGTGCATCGTTTCACCAAACGGATTGAGTCTTTGGCAAACAAACGGCCTGGTTCGCAGAATTTAATGACTTGATCCATTTTCTTTTTGAAGTTGATTTGTTAAGCTGTCTGCAAAAGAGAGAGGGAGAAACGTACAACACTTTAGTGAAATTGTAAAAGCACAGTAAAGAACGAAAAAATAAAACTACTACAGAAAAAACCAATGAACTTTTCTTCTAGTCACTGAATTAAATCAATTTCCAATGGAAAAAAAAATAGCAATTTATTTGAAACACAATCAAATTCACTTGAAAACTAACAAAAACAAATGGATTGAAATTGAACGGGAAACAATTTGGAATTCTTACCTTTCACAAGCGAGTTAGTAAATCGAATGTGAGTTGTAGTGCGGTTCTCGTAGTGGATTGACTTGATACGTGCCACACGACTATTACACGTCGCATTAATGTACCGATGACGTTCCATGATTTTTCGGGTTGTCAGATGTGCGCCTGTCAAACTGGGAAAAAATCATCGCATCAGCGGCGAATTCGCTTACGGTTTGTATGTTTTGAAAGCGATTTGGTTATTTTTTTTTGGTTAGGTTCTATGTTTATGACTACAGCGCTAAATACCAAACAATGGCTTGTCTGTAGAGGTTAAAAACGAATTGGTTGAACCAAGTAAAAAAAAAAACAATTAAAAGAGAATCCGAAAAAAAGACATTACCTTTTCCAGGTAGTAATTTGTGTGCTTAAGTATTTCATTGGAAAGAAAATATGGCAAAGAATGATAAAACCAATGATGAAGTGAGAAAAGTGGCACCAATCCGAGTGGTAAATTTAGCTAGTCTACAAGACATTAAGATAGTCAACAGAGAGATGCCGATCCGCCAAAGTCGTCGAAAATCGGTACACCAAGTGCGATCAAACAGTGATGAACAAATGGAATTTATTGAAAGTCGAACCGAACTCAGCAACGATGATAATTCCACTTCGACCATCGCATCATCGTCTAATTCAACGACAGCAACATTTCGTAAATCTTTCCCGAGCACCAGCACCACCACAATGAAAAAAGTTTCTCCAAAGAAGAAAAACGGCCGAGAAACACGACCCAACGAAAGGCCCAATGAAAATTTGATGAAGCGCGTCGCATTGCTACGGGTTTGCGCTGAGTACATGCTAAAAGAATTACAAGTCAACAATGTCGTGTTCGGTGAAAATCAGTCACTTGAAATGCTCAAGGCTCAATATGTACGAAACTCGAGAAGGAAACAGTAGCTCTGGCTCTGAAATTTCATGGAATCAAACGTTGAAAAAATTCCACAACGTAACCGAATAAATTGCCATTTATGGAATCACAAATTGTAAATCAACACAGTGAACGGTGCTACAATTCCCATTTAATAGTTTTTTTTTAGAGCAAAAGATCATCCGTCTTGATGGTATTCGATTGCAGAGAAAGAGATTTTTGTAATAATGTAACAGAGAAGATGAAGAGAAAAAAATACAAGAAGACTAAATTGATAGTTGGGAAAATGCTGCTGTTTTGAAATTCAAATTGTTTGTAATACTTTTCTATATGTACCTATTTTTGAAGAAGCCGATCTGAAACAATGTTTTTCTTTTCTTTTTTTGAGAGTTAGCAATTGAATTTGTATCTGTTTGAATTTGGAATTTTTTTAGACATAAGTTGTACCAATGATAATTGATGTTTGAATAGCTAAATGAAGCAAATAGTAAAGAAGCTGAAAACAATATTTGAAAAAACTGAACAAATTGTGTTCAGAAAAATTCATGCGTTTTTTTCCTACTCCAAACCGTAATTGTTTGTTCTAAAATATCAAACTGAAACAGATTCTACTGTGGTCATTTCTGTCCCTCCAGAATTTGTCTTACTTGTCGGACATTTTGAAATGCATGCGATTATTTGAAATTCCACGGAAATCCAGTTGTTTGTATATGATCCGATGTGGTGATACCAACCGAGATTCAGGTAATAAGTTTGTTGAACTCTGTATGCTCTTGATTGAACGGTAAGTGCAGCGGCGATCAAGGCGTACGTAATACATGTAGCCGCCTCTGTACAAGCGTTAATAGCGTTAATACAGCCAATGAGTAAGGTAAAACGAAAATACTTGATTCACATACATGTGATTTTTTTTTGCATCGTTGTCGTCGCTGTCGTTCAATTTGTGGTTGTCTTCAACATAAAAAAGACGAATGACACAATTATCGCACGAAATTAAGAAATTATCATAATAAATTTCAAAATGAAATCTTTAAATCAACGGCATGAAATTTGCATTGCATTGCATCAGTCAACAACCTGCGCCATCATCACTCAATCAACCGATGTGTGTGTGTGTGTGTGTGTGTGTGTTGAAGACGCATGAAGACGATAAGTGTAAGTAAATAAAATAAAATAGAAATTTACCGTTAACATTACGCATTCCAAAGTTGTCGAACAAGTTTTGCTGCAGGCGATGCTGTCTCATACAGACGAAACCAATTTTAAAGCGCAAAAAAAATTACAAAAACAACAATAAATATTTTAGACGCAGTTTCTCACAGCTTTTTCTTTCTTTTTCAAATTATATTTTACCAACTTAAATTACATGGATATAATTACAACTAAAATTATCATTTGTTTGCTCTAGCTCTAAATCGAGATAAAAAGAAATGTTGTGCATACAATTTGTCGAAAATCAACGCAGCATAACATAATAAATAACTATTAATTTTTGTGAATGTTTTTTTTTCTCTTCATTTAAAAAGAAAAAAAAACCACACACATTTCTCTCTTAATTTTAAACATTTGATTAAAAAAAATGCAATAAATAAACTTTATGTAGTTGCATAGTCAGCTGGCACAAATTGACATACACCATAGCTATCACGACGTCGATCTGGACCGCATTGCTCTTCGGCACCCAATAGTGTGAGTTCCCATTGTGCATTTGCCAGGTCAGCGTCTGTTTTTCTTGTGCTATCACCTGCTAGAGCCAAACGATCAATATTACCTACATTTAAACTGTTAAACGAAGTTTTTGAATCAGTTAAATCGATCGAATCGGAGGTGATGGTTGTTGTTGGTGAATTTATTAATTTGGTCGCGACAACCATATCATTTCCATATCCATTATTATAATTATCATTTTGTCGCTCATTTACACCCAAATTTGGATTTCTATCTACAATCTGTACACTATTCTTTCGGCTAAAATAATTGTTATAATTTTTACTTGGTTTATTGTCATGGTAATCATTGCCGTAGGATTTGATATTTGGTGTTAGTATAACCGTATTTAAACCGTTGCTAAATGGATTGCCGTAACCACCGTTTGTTATAGATTTTGGCAAGCGTGGAGAGGAGGAATCTGTGTTGTCAGTAGAAGTAGTAGTAGTACTTGGCCACGATGATAAATTAGGTGGCTGTTGTTGTTCTTGTTTACCTGTAACTGTTACAATAGTCGGATCAGATGCACCTGATGTGGATGATGCAATATTTTCATCTAAATTGATCAATGGAAGGTCAGCAATCGAACGAACACCGCCCGTAGCATATGCAGCTGGTTGCAAAATTTCATCTGATTGAATATCGACATGATATGGTGTACGTCCTTCAATGAATTCACCGACGGCAGGAGTTTCAGCTTCACCCTCTGGTCGATTCAAGTAATCCAAACGATTTGACGCTTTTTTTACTTCAACTGATTTGCTCGCGGATGCTGTATGATATTTTTTATGATGTTTGGTGTGATGCTGGCGTTTGTTATGATGTTGCTGTGGTTGACGTTGACCCGACCGTTTCAAAAGATCCAACAATGAATTTCCACTGGATGGCACAACTAAAATGACGAAATTCTCCAAATCAGCACGAATATTGTATTTTCCATCTTGTCTTTGATCGTAGAGGAATTGACGGCGCGGTGGTCCTACACTCAATGGAATCGTTTCCAAAATCGTTGTGGTTGGTGCTGATGACGCTGATGGTGCTTCATTTGGTTTTGTTTGCTCCGTAGGTTTCACTTCGATTGGCTTTGGATCGACCGCCATTTCACTTGGCTTTGAGTTATCATTTGGCTTTTCATCGGCTGGCATTTGAATCACATCCACCGCTATTATCTGCTCCGGTTTTTGTGCGTCCAATTCATTGTCGATCTTTGCTGTTGGCAATGTCCAAGCGCTTGATACCAACATCAAACACCACACAAATGTGATGCATTTAAACGACCACATCTTTTGCTGCTGTTGCTTGTTTTGATAACGACAAAAAATTACTTTGAAAAATTTGAATTGTTTTTTTTTCTCTTGAAAAAATTAACGTTTTCTGTATCACACGATTCACAGTGCACTTCTTCACTCGGTCAAGTTCAAGCCGTAACTGATCTTCTTGTCGTTTATAAACACATCTCAACGACTCTCTAGCATGAAACCAAGACGTTTTATGAATTCGAAAGCGTTCACAACAGCCCCAGCGCCCAACAATATAATAACAATAATGAAAACAGTAAACAGATATATATGCTATAGAAACTAGCGTACATGTATATATACACATGCGATGGGTGCGCGCGGTATCTCTTGCTCTCTTGTTCCATTGCATGCGCATTCTATCTCTATCGGTTACGTTGCGCTGCTTCGTCTCATTTCAATGTACGTGTTCTTTTCATTTTGTATTCGCTGAACGTGTTCGAATCTTCTTCCGTCGTCAGCAGCAGCAGCAGCAGCAGAACCAAACACAGCCACAATACGATTTAATGAGCCGACCATTCGATTGACTTTTTTTTCTTTTTGCTTTTGATGTTGTTCCACAGTTCGAACCGTGGCTTTTGCACCTTTTTTTCTGTCCAACTGGTTAACACGATCTACGAAGACGTTGGCAAATAATAATTTTTAACGATGAGCCGACAATGGTTTTGGTGGTTTTTATGAGTGCACCCTGCGTTTCGTAAACAAAAAATAAGTCGCAATTTATTATCAACCAACAAAAATGACTATCTCATTTAACCCAAAAATCCATTTATTGCTTGACACACTGCTAAAAAGACAAACAACCGCTATAGTTGGCTGTTAATCCCCATCATTTTTGCGCATAAGAATCATCGATCAATTACGAATTCGATTATACAGTGGAAATAGAAAAAAAGCGAACAACCGTTAGATATTTAAAAGTCAATTGGCGCCGATATGTGTGCACAAGTGTGATCGCGAACAAGCGCACGCCTGCCTTTCACCTCGTATCGTAAATAAAAGAAAGAGAGATGAAGCCAAGTGAAATTTTCCAAACCCAAGTCGATAGACATCTATATCTATTGAACACACACCTAACGTAACAAAAAGTGCAAATCTTCAAAACGTTGCGTGAAATTATTTCGCTGCTGACGCAAACGCAATCGAAAATTCACGATTCTCCTGACTTTGCAATTGAAATGTGATAGAACGTTAACATGAAATTGTTTTGCTTTGGTTTGCTGCAACAGAAAAAAAAAACGAAGTGATTTCGTTAACCCAACGAACGAAAATAATAGCAATTCAATAGAAAACATTGTATCGATGTAATGGTTTATTGTGAATAGATTGGTTCAAGCTAGAGAAAAGAAAAGAAAAAGCATTCGAAATGGCTGTCTTCGTCGTCGTCGTCGTCGTTGTTGTCGTTCTAGCTCTCAATGTGAGCCTCTCATTCGGCCTGCATCCCGATTGCGCTTCATGCAAAATAATTATACTCTAATTAGCATTATTAAGTTCATTATCACGCTAGACAAACGCAAAATGTTTTCAACGGTTGGTTCATGTTTTATTCATCAGTCATAAATGTTTTTTTATCACATTCTTTGCATTTTCTTTCACGTTTTACTCGATAAAATGAAATTGACGGTGCAGCAAAGCACACACGTATTAGTTGTTTGCTCTATTTTAATTGGGAAAGCTAATAACGAACATACAAAAAAAGTGAAACAATTTTTTTTCTCTATAATTCGCATTTTAATCGTTGTTAGTCAAAGCCTATGGTCAAGGTTCTGTATGAAATGCAGAAAACGGCCTAAGCATATGCTTACTACTGCATTGTAGGCCGGTTCAATGCTTTCAATACAACAAACTGAAAAAAAAACTTACAAAAATGCAAGTCACATACAATCGCAATTCAACGGAACGATCTGAAACCATATTCCAAAAACTCGTTTGATATGGTAATACGTGTTGGATGAAAGCAACAAATTTGTTATCAATACTCAAGTGCAATACACTCACTTTGAATGGGCGAGCAGAGAGAGAGAGAAACCAAGGGAAAAAAAAATACAAGGCAACAACAAACTTGATATCGTAACGGATTTCAATTCTATGTGCAAGAATCGCTAGCCAATTGTTCATTGAAAATCAAATGCACTAACATTAAGCTGCAGTGCAGATTGCCGCAAGTTTATTGTCCACATGTGGGACTCGGCTCATTTTTTATCTCCACCATATTCATTGTTCATTGGATTGCATCTCGCATACAAACATTGACCGATATGTACTTCAGTCTGTCTTAATTAACATTTTCAAAGGAAAATGTACAGTAATGATGGCTCAAATCGGCTAATGGCCAATGTGTCGGTGCTGCATTGCAAAAATGCGTTTGATTTAAAGCCATCATAAAGATTGGCCGATCAATCAATGGTCATGATCTCCGCAATGTTTGATAGCCGCTCATTGCATATTGCAGTTAGGCAATGTTGATCATAAATGTCAAGCATGCCTGTAAACAAATAAATCACATACTGGCCTGGCCGTAGACGTAACAATTTTATTTTCCAACGTTCTTGATTTGTTTACTTTTTTTTATTATAATAGATAGCCGCACAGTAAATTCCCACCGAATGCTGTGTGCATTATGATTTATTTGTGTATGTGGTGGCATTGCTGATATTGTATTTTGACCGGAATCGTCGTCGTCGGCTGTGGAGAATACAGAAACAAATGCGAGAACATTTTGTCTGAGATTTATTGATATGCATCAAGTGGCATGGCTGAATGAATTGAATGCGTCATTATCGCGACTAGAGTTTATAAATAGCATTAGGCATTTCTAAAATAGTCGTAAAATATGTTTGATCGTTTTATAATTAAATGAATCGCCCAAATCACATTTCACTTGACTTTCAAACAACATCTTATTCAAAATATTCGAAAAATCGAAACCAAAATACATCGAATATGGTTTTTCTTTAACCCATTTTGGACCGCGATCCTTATTTTGTTTTCAAAATGATTCAAACTTTCAGATATGAATAATATAGTCGAAAAAAGAAGTTTCCACTTTCCAGATCGATAATTTTTCTTCGCACTTAGCCAGAATGAGCAAAAATGTGCTGGTCGTTTTTCCGACCAACGGTCCCTAATGTAATCAAATGTAGGTGAAATTTTGAATTTTTTTAATCCTCAAGAAAGAATGAAAATACATTCATAGAATTAATTTTTACCATCAATATCGTTGTTTTAGACGTGTTTTATCACATTTCATAATCGTTTGAATTCATAATATGCATTTTGAATGATTTTAAGTCAGTTGGCCAACGGAGAAAACTTCGAACGAAAATTCTCATGGCACGTTGGAACGATAACGCTGACGTCAACATGATCACAAACTTTGAAACGATTGAGCCATTGAAAACGACCCGACGGTATGATCGAAAGCAAAAGCGAATCGCAGCATTTCATCAGCCGCACCTTATCAATTCTTACAATCAACACATGGGCGGCGTGGATTTGCATGACAATGCAGCAGCGAACTATCGGGTCAATGTGCGTGGCAAGAAATGGTGATGGCAGTTGAGCACCGCAGTGGTTAATGCATGGAAATTGCATTGTTTCGTGGCTAAAAATAGTGCCAACCCGTTCAAACCGTTATCACAACTCGAATTCCGTTCCAAAATCACCAAGCACTTGATCACTTCCTTCGAGAAAGAGTTTGCCAGTGACGACGAGGTCGATATGGAGAATGATGACATTGACGATCCTGATTATGAACCTGATGGACTGGTAAATGACGCAGTCAAAAGTCATCTCATTGAACGGTCACCAGATGGAAAAAGTCGTCGATGCAAGCACTGCCACAAACACACAAACCAGATTTGCAAACGTTGCAACATTCACCTACACGCAAAGTGTTTCACACTCTACGAGGCCCACAAATGAATGGAATAATTCATGATGAATTCATTTTTCACTTAATATTAAGTTAGAATAGACATTTCTATTTATTTTTTATCGTTTTATGACTAAACAAATGATTGTCATATCAAATATCAATGTTTTAAAAAGTATCTAAAAAAAATTGATTTCTTCCTCTTTTGATCACATATAGGACCAATGGTCGGATTTCCGACCACCCATTTTTACGCACGTGTACTGCACACAAATCACGAAGTAAATATCGGAAGAGGAATTGTATCTAAAAATATGGTCTTTTTATGAAAGATCTGCATCATTACTTTTGCATTTTTTATTTTCCAAATTTTCTTATCTACTGAGTGAAAAAAGGTCCAAAAAACATCATTTTTTCGTAGCTCGATTTGAAAAACTTGGATTTTTTTTTCCATTTTATTTTGACTCCCAATGGATAGTTCGTCTTTCAAACTTCAATTTAAAAAAAAAAGTAACCAAATTTACCACCTAGGAACTGAGATATCAGTCTGGGAAGCAACGGTCGTTTCACTGGTCGGAAAAACGACCAGCGGGCCAAAATGGGTTAACCACAACTGTTCTCGACGATATTTTTTTCTTCCTCTCTTGCGTTCAAATCCCCGCATTTGACCCGCACATACATACGATGCGCATAAATAAGCGATATAATCGCACGTAAGCAAAACAATAAATGATGAAGAACAAAATCCATTAATCCGAGTGATAGATTTCATTTCGAGTTATTGTGTTTATGGGTCAACCGAGAAAAAAAAACAACATATACAGACAGAAAAAAAATTACGTAAAATCCGACTGATCATCGCTTTGAGTCGAAATGACTAGAAGAAGCGATTTTAAATTGGTAAATAATTAGCATATTTCAAAGGTTGATTCGTCGCTTCGTCTTTCTTTTGAATATTTTTTTAGATTCACATAACTATAGATCGCCAGTTCGCTCACACTGAATCACACTGTGCAAGGCCCGTTGAATTTCGTCTGAAATGTAGCAACAGAACCTTTCGCAAAGTAATTTAGACTCACGATTAAATGCGACCTGACCTATATTCATCGTTTGAGTGCTTTCTTTTTTTCCCAATCTCTCGTCGGTGCTGTTATTGTTGTTGTTGTTGTTTTTACCACTGTGACTTGCGTTATTCTTGTTCCAAACATTTGAATCTCTTACTTGAGGAAAAGAACACGAGAGAAAGAAGACAAAAAGAAAAAAAAAAGCTGTAAAAATGCAAATACAGTTCCAATCACCGAAATTGTATGTAAATCTCTGTGGTAACTGAAAGAAGAAAAAAAAACGTTCACAACAACAAAAAGACTGAACGTTCTCTTTGAAATGTTTGACTTTATTGTGTTTTCATTCTTTTTTTGTTCATATTGACGGTTGCTGCTACTATGATTGTTCATAAGATTGATTTGTTTTTCCACTTAACTTTTGAATACAATAGTTTAGGACGATTTTATTTTACAAACAACACATTTTCAATTTTTTTTCTCTTTTGCTACGAATTACATTTTTATTTACACATAGTACATAGATTTGAAGTAGTAAAGTAAATTAATTAGTATAGTAAATCGGAGTCATTTTTGTTATTCATGTAGTTTTGATAAAGTTTTCCATTGCATAAGCCATTTTTGGAAGTGTTCAATGTGGTTTCTTCGGCAAGAATATTGATAGTAAATGGTTGACATTATTAAAAAAGATTATAAAAAAGACGATTTTTGTTTCTGCTTCATCATGTTTCGCCATTAACCTTCGAATTGATTCGCACGAGCCAATTGACTTCGTCCGACTGCCCGAAATGTTAATAGCTTGTATACCGTTACACATGAGTGCTCACTGGCCCACCTCACTTAATGACGTCTTTAACACTGCACACAAAAGACGATTACATATTATCATAATCATCTCTTGTCCATAATGTGTACAATCAACAGCATTAATTTTTGTATACAAAATGTACCGGCAAAAAAATGGAGTATTTATTTGGCTTTTGCTTGCAAATTTCAGTGTGTTTTGATTAGGAACCAACTGACTGACTGATTTAGGTCCACAAAATTGATTGATTTTTATTACTAACGTTGGCATATTCAAATTTTTTAGAATTTTTTTTCTACACATATTTCATCTAATTGTTTGTAGCTTGAAGCAGAATGGTTTCTCAAGAATGGGCAATTAAATTTATGGTCCTGAACATGATTATTCACACCTTGAACTGCGCAAAATGAGGAACACAGAACACAACATTTTTGCAACAACAACCAAAAGAACAAATATTTACGTTTTAGATTTTTGAAATAATTTCAGTGAATTTCGATATATTATCCTCAATGCTCAGAGACTTGGTAAGTATTAAAATGCCTTCCGTATTAATAAATTCCAAATGTCCGTTAAACGTAGAAAAATGTCCATTTTATTCATATGAATACTGAATGCATTTTAATAATTTGTACAAGAAGACACAGGGTTTTTCTTAAGTAGATGAAATTATAGAAGAAAAAAATAAATATTCGTCTTATTACATTAAGATTCATGTTGATTAAGAATAAAATACATTTTTTTTCTCATAAATAATCTGACGAATCCATTGTTTTTTGTTAGCTACTCGATTCAACTAAATATTTTCGGTGCATGTATAGACGACTTGTTTGCTTGTGAAATGAAAAAAAAATTGGAGTACATCAAACATTTGATTGGTAAGTCTATATAGTGTGTTTCGTTCATTGGAAAACATGACAACGGGAGGAGAGGTTGAAAGCAAATTACATCATTTGTTCGATTATCGTCTATTTAGCTGTGGATTTTCGGATATTTGTGATACATGGATTGTGAACATGGATTTAAAAAAAAAAAATTAATTGTGGTGAAACATTGAGTAAAATTACATGAAAATTGTTATTTGTTTAAACACATTATAATGGGCTAATACTAGTGTTCTCACTTTAGCAAATGAATTCATTCATTTTCTGTTTGGTCTCATCAATTAAACGTTACGACCGTGTACAACATACAACATGCATTTTCTTTATCTTCATTTATCACTAGAACCAGCACATCATGTAGATAAACGGAATGGGAATTACATACAAGTGTAACATTTTGTTTGAATGTTCCTTGCATTCCGGTTATCCAAATGGTAGTGCTGGCTGAATCTTATCATTTCTCATTACATTTTTGTTTTTTTCTCTAACTAAGTGCTTGCATTGATATCTTTGGTACCAAAATAGCGAATACTTTTTTTTTGTAATCTCAGGTGAAACTAAACAAAGCAATACTGACTCAAATGGGATTGGCAAAGGTATTCGAAATCCAATATCTTTCTTTTCTCAAATTTTGTCGCAAAAACAAAATATTAACAATTTAAAATACAACGCGGTTAATGCATGCGATAAAGCATTGTAAAATTGGCGAAAAAAAAATATCTATGGTAAAAACTTGAACTGCATGCAATCTACCTAGATTTGCTAACACAACAATACAACTAGCTGCATTTATTCGATTTTAAATCTATCAAGCATTCCACAAATTACAATTGATTCAACTCTGAGGCTTTGCTAAATTTTCTTCGTTCAATCTTTTCCATTGACTTGAAATGATTCGCAATTAATCAGATCTTCATTTGTATTTTTCTCTTCTCATGATAAGAATAGGTGGTCAATAGCTAAGCAAATATACAACCAATGAAGTAGATAAAAAAGGCTAAATCAAATGAATCGTTTAGTTTGCCTTTACACCGTTCTTCTGCACTTTCTTTTGCGTGACAGTGAAACATTCGCGTCCAAAATGATCGCACATTTGTTGCACCTGAAAAAGTGGAAAAACAAGGATTAATATTGAATGATTTCGATAAATCGCATTTCAAAATGCATGACTTTGTTCGCTTACCACTTTCGTACCATAGTGCCAGTGTGCACCGGTTGTCACAATGCAGAGTAGGTATAGTAATGGTCGTTCCAAAATCGGTACATACAAACTGATTAGCAATGTTACCACATAAATCGGTGTCATCCAATGAACGGCTTCACAGCGTGTGTTCGACATTTGTGCCACAATCAAACGGCACTGATTTCGTCGGATCAAGAAAAAAAAAAGATGAAGCAATGAATTAAAATTTATGACAATAAAAAAACTGGCTAGTAGGTAATAACTTATTCAGCGAAAAAAAAATGGCACAAACAATGTAAACAAAATCACTTTGCGTGACCATTTGAATTTGATGGCAACAAGTGTACTTTGACTTACGCTGACATTACTGAAAATCGTTCCAGTGAGCAGAAATACCGCCCGTGTATCGACGTCCATAATGTTGCTGGGTGATTTCTGTATCCAGAATATGAACAGTGCCAAAAACGTTAGGAATGGGAAAAATGGTCTGGCTGCCTCAAGCGGTGATCGCATTTTGCCAGTTTTGTATTTATATGATTTGTATATGTTCACCACGACCATTGGAACGCTTGACAAGGCACTGGCATGCAACAAAAACTCTAATCCTAATCCCAATGGGATGCCGAATGGCAACGAACGTTTCCAGTACTCAAATGTGCCAAACCATGTCGTCAAAAACATGAGCGTCGATCCCCACATACCGAAATCATAGCCCCACGGTAAGTATAGTACACCGGTGTTGTATTTTTCAAAGTGTGACACGAAAAAGTTGAATAGCACCATCCAAACGATGAAATACATTCGAATTGGTGGAATTGATCCACTTCCACGGCCAAAAATGCTGTACAAACAGGATGGTATTAATGGTGCTGTGTATGAATCCAATCCATGGTCAAAGAGTTCACCCAACGGCCCCGACAATCCAATCCTCCGTGCCAATTTACCATCGACTCCGTCCAATGTGTATGCAAGGAAAATGTTGATGGCGGCAAGCAGCCAAAACCAATTCGGCACCGGCGTCGTATTTTCATAGCCGGTACTTGCATAGAAACCCCAATCATACCATGACAAAATGATGAAATTTAACGCGGTGAATAGAAAACCGACGAATGTGACTACATTTGGTGCAATCCATTTTGGAAAAAACTGCAAAACAAAATATACAATTGAATGACGTTAATTGCAGGCAAATTAGAATTAGATAAAGTTGTGAACTCTATCTTACCTTTACAAGTGAATTCCAAAACGGATGCATTACATTGACACTCAGTGGTGACGTGTCTATCGAACTGTACTGTAAAGTAGAAAAACAAAATATAAAATTATCTATTTGTATATGGTGATAGACATTGCGGCACGTTTCGATAACACAACGATAAGAAACCGTTTTTTTTCTCTTCGAATACGTACAAATTAAATATAGCAATCAGTGATGCTAGGTCACCTGATTGGAATGTGAATACACAGAAAAAAGCACATCTTCGTTACTTTGAAAGATAAACTACGAAGGAAGCCTATTTCTGTTACAATCATTATTTTATGTATTGACACAGGGTTAGACGAAGAAAAAGAACAAAAAAACGAGAGAAATGTAGAGAGAAAAAAAAGTGGCACGTCACAACGAGTTTGTTGCGAATTTCTAGACTTATTATTTAACATCCAAAGTTCATATATATCTTTCGTGGCCGTGTGTCGGTGGATATTCAAATGCACTGAAAATAGCTATAATTAAACTACGCCTAATTTGATTAGAACGAGAAGGAAAGAGTAAAATAAAGCGTTAAACGAATATCAAAATATTAGTCATCCTAATTCACGATTATTATGAGTCACACACAAACGAAAAGAAAGATGCAGTGTGTGTGTGTGTGTATGTGAAAAAGTCAGAGCTGCTTAATTTAAAATTGGCGGTTAATTTTGCATGGAATGATGTAATTATTGTATTCCGGTTTATCAAAGTCGAGGCAAATGGATGTAAACGGGTTTTGTTTTTACGTCAATATAGAACACAAGGTGAAATACAGCTTCAATTATAGATTTCCAACTTAACAAGAAAATCACACAACGAGTTACTCACTTTGTAACTATCGAAACCAGCCAAGTGTTTCTCCGTCAAATAGTCCATGTTCCAATATTTTTGCAGTAATTCCGTCATTTTTTTAAAAACTAGAGCTAATGTTTGATTTCGTTTCTCTTGGTGAATTTATGGGACTGAATATATGTCAAAATTATAATTTCAATGCTATGGAATTCGATTCAATTAATTTGATTTAAAACTAAGCCCTCAAAACCCGCACGTCTTCACTGTAATTCTAATCAAAATCAATTGCGTGCCTCTTATGAGAACATTATTTGAGTTTCTTTGGATTGGATGGGACTCGAACCGATTTTGGATTTTATTGGATTGATTTTATTCGTTCACATATGTATTAATATGATGAATTCACAACACTGTTTATTTATAAACCACGACTAGTTCCCATATCACATATCGTGCACACGATTCTAAAATCACTAATTCTTGGTTATGAATTATTCTATGCCATGGCAATGATCTATTGATTTTCTTTTTCTGAATTTCTTTCAATTTCGGTCGTCTTCGATGAAACACAATTTCATATCGATTTTCGGTTTAAGCAAATGAATTATTATTTGAACGACAAAAGCGAGCGATTTCTCAAGCCCGTACACGAGTAGCTAAAGAAGAAAAAAAATCGATTGTTTTCAATAAATACACTTGATGTTGTGAATACACGCGTTTCGCTTACGGTTGCCCGAGCCGTCAAACTGATATTCTGCTGTCTGCTGATGTTGATGTGTGACATATCCGAATACGTTACACTCGCAATACACACACAAACACTCACCGATTTGTCGGCTTGTATTTACACATCTGCTTGCGCGTGTGGCTGTATGCACAACACACCTACTGTCTGCCTGTGACCGATTTCGCCGCATAAACAGCGGCAACACTAATTCATATTACTCGGTCGCTTTGAGAGAGTTTCGTTTTTGAATGTATTTTGAATACATTTTCTCTGAGATAAAGAATGAAATAAAGATTGTCCCTTTATTACACTGCAAAGTTATAAAAAAAATCAATTAAATTTCCATCGAAATCATGTTTATTACTTCGTTCATTTGATATGATGTCATTTCTCCTTGTATGAGTGTAACAGTCAAATACGTAAACATTATGAAATTTTAACAAGAAATTCTTTTTGCAAAAGCATAGCAATTTCTACGCAATCTTAATTAGCAAAAAACAGCGTTAAATAAACCGAGGTTCATTGCAATTATTGTGCGGTTATACGTTTTGTCTGGCGATAGTTTTTTTTTATCAAACTGGTTCCGTCTGGTGATCCATGTTATATAGGTTATCCGCATTATTATAATCTATTTACTACGAACACGAGATGATACCGGTTACGATGTTACGTGTTTACATCACTCTTCGCGTTGAAAACAATTGAAATCATTCTCTCTCTGTTTATTTTGAATTAACAAGGTGGTTATAACCAAATGCGACAAATCGCTACGCAGTTTAGAAAATACTATTCGAATCTGGAAATAGTTTGTATTTGAAATAAAATTGTGTCAACCAACCATGACTAATGTTATTCATGACCAAATTGAGTGATTTAACTGTTTTAAAAAGAAATTCAGCGACCAAAGCAGTTTTAGTCGAATTATGTAAAACAAAAAAGTACTTATTCACTGAAATAAATTTTTGAAACTGTGATATAATTTCTCGTAAATTATATACGTTGATACAATTTTGATGACGGAATTTTTAGTATTCCGAAACTTCTTAACTTTATATTTAGTTTGGATTTATTTTTAATTCGTTTAGAATTGCATTTGTAATACAAATTAAATCAAGAAATATTGTTGCACATTTAAGAGAAGAATTTGTAGCCGTCTTCAATTGAATGCAGATCAAGGCCAAGCAAGTTCATCTTCAGTACAAAAAAAAGAACAACATTGGTGTCTGGTTGATAATTGAGGGCGTGAGTCCATCCTTTTTTCCGCGCGTAATTTGTGTCGGTTGGATCCAACTCCTTAGTTGTTTAGTGCTGCGCATGTTCGGCTCGTGTGTGTGAAACAAAATTCGGTTTCAGTTTAGCATTGCCAATCGTTGTATCCGCACACGGCACACATTCGAAGGCAAATTGAGTCAGTGATATCACGAGAATCGTCGAAGTAAGTGCGGTGTATTACGCGCGGTGATGATCACATGACTAAACCACATCAACGGCAATCAGAAGAAAAACAAACGAAATAAATTCAAATCATCGAACAAACGGAGAGTTCATTCAAGTGTAAAGAAAAAAATTCGTTGTAAATATTTCCTCCAAACAGCTGATTCAATTCGATCGGTTTTCTTGAGTCACCCAGTTTTCGTATCGCAACCAGTTGTTCATTGTGTGTAAACACAAGATTATACGCAAGAATTCGCGCAAAAAAAAGTAGAATCTAAATAAAAAGTCGAATCAGTTGGTGTCTGAGTGTGTAAGCGTGACAATTACGTATTGGTATTTGTAATGTTGGGCTGGTGAGGTTGTTGCATTCAATCAAAGTTTAAAATTAGCGATAACATTCAACAGTGTGATTTTGTTTCGATTTGGCACGAAACCAAAAGAAACAACAACGCAACGACGAGAAGCATCAATAGCCCCGTCTTGGCGTTAAGAAATCATTGTATCATCGGTGACAGGTACACTTCAACAGACGCATCATCACAAAACGATGTTGAGATATTTTTGTATTTCATTCAGAAAGTCACAGTCGATCGCACATTGCTAATGAATTGAAATAGTGTATCGCGTGCGACGTTTCACAGCATTGAGTTGACCCTGTGCGGAACAGTTGATCTTTGAAACAAAAACAAAAAGAAATTACGATACAAAAACGAGAACAATTTCAAGATATGAATATTAGTTGTTCGGTGCTCTGAGAAGTGTTCTTTGTTCAAAGTATTAGCAGAAGTGTGATAAATTTACAGACAAACAAAAAATGGATATGTTAAGTACATTGCCACGGCATTTGGATACAAAGGATCTATCCAACGATGCAAACAGTTTGAATGTGACGATGCCAGCCGCAGCTGCAGCAGCATTTCAACTATCAACTAACTTTTTAAACGCAGTAAGTATATTGTGATTTGTTCTACGCATAATCACCAATTATATGTCATTTGAAAAGAACAAAGAGAAAAAAAGGGTACGAATGGCATGAATAACAAATGACTGTGTTCAATTGTGTCAATTTTAGCTATCGCAGTCAGTCATTTTACTTCATCATACATGCATATCTATCAAACGTATAAAATACTTGACTTGTTGTCATATCACCGTGTGGTTCATTCTCTCTCTCTCTCTCTCTCTCTCTCTCTCTCTCTCTCCATGTGTGTTTCTGATTTGATTCATGAGGTCATGCAGACACGGAGATCGTTAAATAAATTATTGTTGCTTCCATTGAACCGAATAAATAGAAAGATTGTCCCCGAAATGCGTTACGGTTACTGGTGCAAACGACTTATACGCTAATAAAGCCGGTATTTTGAACCGAACAAATTTCGCCTGATTCAATGTCAATGTTAATACCCGTGCACGATAAATCATAGCAACCTGCCGTTGGCTGTCGTTCACTAAAGCCTCGTATACGTATTTAGTGCTATAAAAGTTGGTGAAATATCACAATAAATCCAGTGCTACATTTCTTTTTGTTTTTGTTTTTCTTTGTTGTTCTCTTTTTCACTCGATAGACACCCGTGAAAACGGATCAACAAATATTGGAAAATTCAATGCTTGAAGACGATCCGAATGCAAATTGTCAGTTGGCAACAGCAACAGACACAAAAAGCATATGTTATGATTCACAATCATCTCCTCGATGGGGACCACAGCACAAGGGCGCTCAAGAGCTAGCTAATTTATATAGTCCAGGTAATGATTTTTTTATAGCGCTATTATCTATTTTGTATCCAACACACGGACGAATTCCCACGCGTACTTCATTCAAAGCATGGAAACCACTCTCACTCGCCGTCCCCATCCATGTGACACGTCACTGTGACAAAATACTATTATTTTATTGAACTTTACATCACATTTGCTTCATTTCCCATATGTTTGTCGGTTTACAATTTACAATAGTCCATCGCAAGGTTTCAATTGGTCCATTTAAAATATTTATCAAATAAAATGGACACGTTTGACATTCAAAGCGGCTCCGTCGAACAAACAAAGTAGTCAAAGGAAATTTAATTAAACCATAGGTCAATTATTTATTGATTTACTTCATAAACTGGGAGTGAGACCAAATGTCAATTTCCACTTTGACTGAAAACAATATACACTGTGACCGAAACAAATACTCCTCGCTCATTTTACGACGCTGTAACACCTCCTTCGAATCGATCAATGCTATTCGTTGTACTTCAAGTAAATTGAAATAACAAGCGATTTGAAATCCTTGGTCATGTTTCAATGCAATACAAATATATTTTTTGTTCCATTCCATTTAATGTCATGCAATAGAATTTTGCTCAGATGGACGCCGACGAATACTAAATATTCGCTTGATCAGTGTAGTTTCCAAGTGGCTTTGAAAATTTAAATAAGCGATGGACTTCATGGCAACGTGGACTGCCATACACGTTTCAACCATTGAATTTGACCGCTTCGACTTGTTATCGATTGAATTAATTTTTACACTTGATGGAAAATTGACCGGCCACTTCGATTCGACTGACGATGAACCGATAAATAATTCACACGAAATATCGACAGTTAGGGGGCTAGTTTGTTATGTTTTGTAGTGTGGCCACATCACCCCGAATAAACCTTTGAATTTTAAGTTTAATAATGGGTTTTAATGCAGCTACGCGCACCATTTTCGGTGAGAAATGAACCATGTAGCAGAACAAATGTATTGAAAAGGAAAATTACTCTGGATATGCCTCAATCAAAAAGTGAGTCGAAAATGAGCGAAGTTCATTTATTGACGAATTTGATAACAATGAGAAGCAAGTGTAAGCGCGCACTTTGCACAATTAAGCTTCATTCTTTTCAAAGAAAAAAGGCTACTCCAATTTCACTACGTTCGATTACCTCGCACAATGGTGAAGTGACCGCCATCACGACTATTTTCTTCCACTTACTTTTTTCGATTGTAAACATAACACCATTTTTCTATCAACTTTTAATCTGTATACATTTTTTGTTCTGTGTTCATTGTTGCCCACCAAGTACAATTAACAAATTGAACGAGTCATGTTTATGCATACCCATTCAATGGCGCCGTTTTCCTATTGATTTTTTCGTGTGTTTATTTTTATTGTGCTTTTAACTTTCATTCCTTCGAAATGTTAAAGTTATTATTATTTTACTTTCGCATTTTGAAGTCATACGTTTGACGGCCGCCGTAAGTACGCGAAGCGAGACAGTAAAGTTTTTTCCATTGATTCAAGCTGTAACGCTTCGAATGCAGACCACCCCTCTGCATTTCGAATCGCAAGGAAAATGTGAGTCACTTGAGTGAGTTTTTTTTCCTTTTTTGTATTTTCGATAAGCAAATATCGATGTTCAGGTGAATATTATTGAAAGCCAAATAAAGTCACTCACGTTCCCGGACCAAGCATTCAAAGTCCTTTCGCCGAATGTAGCAACGATAAAAACGTTTTTATGTTGCTCGCATATTTATTATGAGCACACTAAATGTAATTGATGGCTTTTATTTATTTTTACGTTCATTTTTTCTCTTCTCTTTCCCTATTTCTCTCTCTCTCTCTCTCTCTCTTTCTATTTTTTTTAACCTCCGACCTTACATGTTTACGACGAACACACATTTTTGTTTCGCGATTGTGTGGTGTCTCAGGCAAACGAATACAAGAGGTGATTTGCGTGTACATGTGCATTAGTTTAATGATATTAAACTTATTCCTAATTATCCGATATTTTCGCTTCGAACGAATGGGCATTGTGATTGCAGCTGCAATGTGCGGCATAATTACGGCCGATTTTGGCTCTGGCCTAGTGCATTGGGCAGCTGATACATGGGGATCGGTGGAATTGCCAATTGTTGGAAAAGTAAGTCATATATTTTCTTTTGTTTTCTCTCCCTCTCTCTCCCTTATTCCACCTAATTGCTTTGTTTTGATTTGCATATATGTGAAATGTGAGGAGCTTTTGCTGTTGCCGTTTCATATGGAAACGGCTTGTGTGTGACACGATACCGCGAAAAAAAACATATTATTTCAATTCCATGATTAGCATACAAATAAATATGGAATAAATTTTCTAAACGATAGAAAAATTACAATACAGTTATTTAGTTGTGGCTTCGAATGAAACGACATCCTTTCGAATGGAGTGAAATAAAAAAAAATGCGACATTCAATTCGTTTGTTTGTTCCTCTTTTTCCAGCGCGTGTGTGTAGTTATTTCCAAGCAATTCACTTTCTATGGCTTGTCGTCATTTGAATGAAGCGCAGAATAACGTGGAATACACACACACACACACACAATTTTGCTTTGATTCGCATAATAATTTTAACATGCCAACGACCTGTTCAATAAAAGCGACTCCATGTCTGGACGGTATCAATGCGGTTTCATGTAAAAATAAAGAAAATGCCGAAAACCAAACAGTATTTGCTGGCTACGCTATATTTAGTTTGATACTTTTGTGTATGAATAGTTCAATCCACCTTGTGAGTGATTGCATTGATTTCTGCGCATTATTTGAAACACAGATATATGTTCTGATGATGTTGTCGCTGCTATTGTTGTCACTGTCACTTCTTTTACTGTTGTTGTTGTTGTTGTTATTGTGATAACAAACTATTTGAAGTAGCAAGTGGGTGAAAATTGTATTCAATTTTGATAACTTGTTTCCATTTCGATTAAATCTATACCATTTACTTTGGATACTTTCATTTTGGGTATTTGATCCGAAATCGATTTTTATCTATCGAGTACATCAATGAAAAAAACGAGCGACTAGACAGCTAACGCACCAAAATTCTTTTGGTAACCTTTGGTCTATCCACATTCGTCAGCAAAATGGGTCAATTAAGAGTAGAAGCAGCAGCAATAGCCCAAAAGTGTGCTCCAACATCGAACGGAGTAAATTGCTGGATAACCACCAAAAATCCATTAGTCATAATTCGGTGGTACAAGTTTACTTAAGATAATTGATTTCTGAGGAAAAACCGGCGATATGTCAATTTCAATTTGATATTTGGTGGTTTAATTTATCGACTTTTGACACGCCAATCATAACACACAAGGTGATAATCATAAAGCGAAGCAACAAAAGCTCAACTCACAAATACACACATCAAAGACTGTTTGCTGAAACATGAACTTTGGTTTTTTTCCTGTTCACTCGTAAATTTTTCTCTCATTTTGCTGAATTTTTTTTTCATACCGGTGTAATTTTCGTGCGTTTGCCCAATTACCGTGTTCTTCGGGCCGGTATTTTTTTTCTTCTTCTGTTCGGTATTTTGTATAGGCATTTTTGCGACCATTCCGTGAACATCACATTGATCCAACGTCGATAACGCGCCACGATTTTATCGAAACAAATGGAGACAATTTTATGGTTGCTCTACCAATTTTAGCCGCCGTTGCATTCAATTTCCTCACCAAAAGTCCAGCCGACATACAAGATCATTATCCAATTAGTGCGTATTTATTCCTGTGCTCCATATTCGTGGCGATGACCAATCAGGTGCGTTAATGAAATAACCAACTGTGTACTCAATATTTTAATGTAATATTTTTAAAATTGATTTATCTGTGCCGGTTTGCTTTAATCTGTTTAGTTAAATATCATTTAATTTGGGTCATTTTTTTGCGTGTTTGTTTTACTTAGATACACAAATGGTCGCATACGTATTTCGGTCTGCCGCGCTGGGTGCTGTTTCTACAGGACAATCACATAATTTTGCCTCGACGACATCATCGCATACACCATGTGGCCCCGCATGAAACGTACTTTTGTATCACAACTGGCTGGCTGAATTGGCCACTGGAAAAATTGAGGTAAACTAAACATATTCGAGTGAATGGTTCATTTTCATGTTGATTCATCATGGTTCAACAGATCGATTCAAAATTCTACACTCGCAACTATTCGAGACGCACGCGGCGTTGCAGGTTTTTATTGCATTTCCATGTCGTAAAATTAAAGTATCCGTTTCGAGTGTGAGTTGCGTGCATGAACTCCATCGTCACAAGCATTGCCATCGTACCAAATGAACTGCCGCACGCTTTCATTACACGCACACACTCTCACCCACCCACACACACATACGCTTATTGGGGTTAATGGAAATGTTGCCCCTTCGCTTCTTGGTTTATTCATGTGAGCAACAGTGTGAGTCGCGCTACAGTCAAAAATGGTTTTAACCTTTTGACGACTGTGTCTCTTCTTCGCTCGCGAACGATCCGAATTGCCCGAATATTTTTCGTTTCGCTTCAACCAAATATGCTTTGTCTTTGGCTTTTTTCCCCATTCGTTTGTTCGTCTGTTCGTGCGTATCATTCATCGACCATGTTCATATCAATTAAATGCCATTCAAACAGTTCAGCGTTCATCGATGAGTTAATTTTCCATGGATGGATAAACAATTTTCGATTCCTTTTATGAGCAGCATTTCACATTTGATGGTTCCCATTGAGGATTCGTTTTTTCAGCTATTTCGTTTTTATGACGTGCATGTGATGGAATGATAAATATGTTTCTGCAAAATTGAAGCTCAACGATGAAGTCAGATTTGTGGGATTGACGAAACCATTCATTTTGGTCGTATTGACGCCCTTTGCATGTGACCGCACACGAAAAAAAAAACAAACTATTTTTATGTTTACCCCAAGCTAATATTTGTTACCGCAAAAAAAGAAAGAAAAGAACGAATGAAACGGAAAAAAAAGCTCCAACGAACTGCAGTAATTTGAAAGTTGACTCGTGTCATTTCATGCTTAGCGTTGCGATTTTTTCGTTCCCATTGCATGGTCAACGTAGAAATCGTGGTGCTCTCGGCTCCATACCGCACGCGGGACACACAAAACAATGTTCAATTAGCTGGTGACTTTCCTAGCATTATCGAGTGTATTATTTAAATTATAATATGGAAATATGCGTTCCGTTATCGCGATTTCTCAAGTGGTTTGTAAATGAAATGGAAATGAAACAATTGGCGTTCATCAACCGTCCTCACGCCATCAAATCATTCTCGTGTTGAATAAATGAAATTAAGTTGCTGACTTTTTTCGCTCTCTCTCTCCCTCTCTCTCTCTCTCTCTCTCTTTGTAAAGTTATAACGTGTACCCCATAGCCAACCATATTGAGTACGTATCATTGAATTGCACCAAAATGACGAGCAATTATTATTTATATGATTCTTTCATTTCTACTAATCTGAATTGCAAATGAAACGCGCTTAAATACTGATTTTCAATTGATAACACAGAACGAAACAGAAGAAAAACCAACAGCATATTGCGTTTGTGTAATTTCGTTCTAAATGCTGTTAATATAGTGAAAATCACTTGTTATGCGCGAGTACCGTTATTTGCTTTGGAAATGAACAAAGAAAAATTCCATTGATAAACGACTTCACCGTTAACGCCGCACCCTTTTCGAAATGATACAAGTAAACAAAGGAGACGGAAAAAAACAACCGTCGGTCTAAAAATAGCGCTAGTTATGTGCTAGTTGAAAATAGTCAACATTATCCTGCGTGACATTTATTTAGGGTTTTTTTTTAACCTCCACCAATAAATAAATCATGGTTTTGACCCAAATATTTGAGTTGATCATTTCTTTTGTTGTGCGACGCCTGAAAATGAACGACGATTTTAGATTGCTCGAATGATTGTATCATTTTTATTTCTTTCACGGTCGTGAATTTATTATACATTTCCTTTGTTTGTTTGTTTGTCTTTTGCAGGTTTTGGTCTGGAATGGAAAATATCATTGAGTATCTGTTCGGCTGCAGGCCACGAGCCGACGACTTCAAATGGGCACAGAAATCGCAATAAACTAATGAAAGTGCAGAACGAAAGGGGCTTACCAAAGAAGCAATGGACAACATTTTAAATTAAGCAATCAATGAAAATAGCTTTAAATCCAACTTTTGGTCCGGTTTTTTTTAAAGAAAGAAATAGCTTCATCTCGTTGATGAAAAAGAGAGCATACCGATTTAGCTAAGTGCATTTGCCATAAATACCTCTGATTTTAGTGATAAGCTTGTGGGCATGTAAAAATGACGCCGCCGAATTTATGATAAATGTGTATAATTCCGAAACATTATTTTTTGTATAGATTTTGTATCCCGATCCACGAAACCTCCATAATATTCACCACAATCTGAACTGGCGCTGAAAATGTTTGCAGTATTTGTTTGTGTCGAATTGAACCACGGTTATCGTTGATTGTAGTCACACTGATTTTCGTTATATGTAAATGTTCTTAAATTATAGAATGAAATCCGCCATAATGACTCGCATATTGTTTGTATTGCGTCGAATATTCTTTGGCAATCGAATATAAAATTGTTCGTTTCGTTGATACTGATGCCATTGGCAAACGTTGATCGTATTGCCGAAAGTTTTTAATACAATTTTGTTCCATTTAGGTTTGTTTTTTGTTTCAGAATTCTATCTATTTTTCCGATGACTTTTTTCATAAGTTAGATTGTATTTTGTTGACTTTTTATGTTATTGATTGATAGAAAGTACGAACAAAAACCTGTTCATAACGCTAATGATGTGAACGCAAGCAATTGTTCTAGTTGTTTTGTAAACCTTTTTGTCGTTAGTAAACAATTTGGAAAGGTTGTGTTGAATGTTGGAAAATAGATTTATGACATGTTTTCACCTGTCGAACACCGATGGGAACATACACCCAGTGTGAATATCATGCGGTGAAATGTGAACCACCCATCGCAGTGTTGGCGTTGAAAGAAAGAAGAAAAAAAACTTGGACAAACAAAAGCCAATTAATAAATTCTAATTACACGCGCTTCATGGAATGCAACATATAGTATCCAATGGATATGGCCATTTTTGTTAATGCACATAAGCATTTCATATAGATCAAGTGACGAAGCCGATCAATAGCCCAACCTAATTTATGAAATTCATTAAGTAGTTCGATGGAATGCAATTTAAAGTATACTTTTCATGAAAATTGCTTTAGAGCCATATTTTGATATTAAAACAAACAGCGTCACTGTTCACTGCACTATCCCATCGTTACTAGTTTGCTTTGATTTTTAACGATATAATGTCTAAACCCAAAAATGTTGATATTTACGTTGTAAAGTCTCGGTATTTCATGAACATAAAAGAAACTCCAAACATAATTTGTGAACAGACCGATTTTGTCGTTTTCACACTGACTCGTTCAGGAGCGTGCTACCATTGGAGTGAATGACATAGTGTTGAATTGGTTTCGTCTTTGTTTTACGGTTGAGGAAGTTTCGTCGTTTTTTAATAAATTCAATCTGAAAATCACTAATTTCTCTACAATAAATCAGCACAATTATCAACAAAAATTATCAAAAAAATATTTGAATTTATCAATCAATATAACGTTCATATTACAAATCCAGTCCCATTTCCACTAAATTATTGTTGCAAATGTGACTATCACTCCAACAAATGACTGTTGTCGTTACTCAATTTTAAAAGAAAAGAAAAAATCGTTTTATTCAGATTACTATTCAAAGCGAGTAGTGCCTTTAGTTGGTAAATCAAATGATGAAATTACATTAAGCTTGACTATAGTTTATTTTAAATGTTGAATTTCACACCTACACTTTCCCTTTGTTTAAAAAGTAAAAACACTGTAACTTTCTATGTAAATGAAAAAAAAAGCATTTCAAATAAAGTGCAATCCATCATTCAATCGGGTGGAAAAGCTTGATGCAAACTAATTTTTTTTTAAAAGTGTATTGATTTAAAGATAGGATAGGATATATTCTTCGTGACTCTGTACATACTCAAACCAAACATAGGTTACTATACCAACCACATTTTGTCCAATTTGACCGACAATCATTTTTTTTAACATAAAATATTAAAACCACGAACGAATCTGAATTGCGCAATACAATAAAGGTGCTAATTTATTATTGAAAATATCATCATGTCGATTCGAGGCAAATAAAGCAATTTTCTTAATCGCTTAATTCTGAAATTGAATTTTCTCCACGTTCTCCACACACAACTATTTTCTGCCTTCAAAATTTGCGTATTTTTGCTTTTACAGCCAATTCTACAGCAAAAATCACGATTGAAGCAAGAAAACCATAAACAAGAATAAGTAAAACGGCATAGCAATCAATCAATCGAACGCTTCCGAAATTCTTGCCATCCGATTCGCACTTTGCACGGTTTTTGAAAACGCGCAACTTTTCTCTCAATTGAATGCCATGCTCCCTGATCTTCATAATATTGTAAAAAAAGAGCATTTGTTTGATTGAAAGAAACATTTGATTTTGGGATGTCTTCATCGGAGCTTGCCTTGCTTTCAGAATTTCCTTGTATGGTGAATGTTTTTGGATGACACACCAGGCATCAGACATACTGAAAAATTTGATTTCAACAATGCCACACTTTTCATTTTCGAAAAATGTTTCTTCCACTTCGGCATAGCCTGGGCTAGTTTCTGCGTGAAATTCAAACATTCCATTTCTCATTTTACCTACGCCCTATGATATATTCATGAATGCGTTTGGTTTGCCTGGTGGAGCGATTTTCGTTCCGTAGAATAGCTTTCGGGTTGGCTCATTCTTCATTTTAAAGTAATGCCGACTATATGGCGTATCATCTACCCCAACTCTAATTGCTGGATTTTGTAAGTCAGAAATCGTCTGAATTGATTTTGTTGTAGATTGAAGCAATGCCACAATATTTGCCGTGTACGATGTGTAAACGAACAGCAATGCAATGAAAAACGCGAACTGAAATAAACAAAAGAACATTTTCAAGGAAAAGAAAAGAAAAGAAAACAAAAAGCTTCAATACAACACAGAATCGTTATTTTGCTCACCATCGAAATTCTGGTCGATAATACTTTAGTTAAATACTCTGAGCCCATTTGGCAGATTGATGAAACGGCGAACAAAATATAATCCGATATGGTCATATTTTCGGTTCCTTCGTCAGGCATCACATGGAATTTCAACGTTAGGGCAATGACTAGGGTGCACAGAATCACAAGCAATATTGAACAGATCCATACGACTCCAGTGAATGGTAAGTAGTAAATATTTGAAACGTATGAAATCGGAGGCGATCGTAATATGAAAGCGAATTCCGTGGAGAATGCCATTGACAGATACTCAAGATATTCTACACGATCACTCGTTATGAAAATTATAGTTGCTATTTTGAAACGAATTAAATATTAATATTTCATAAGTTTGACATAGGTTAGTTATTATCAGTCTTTATTAAAATAACAATTTTCTCACCGCCAATGTCAACTTCTTTTCTTTGTAATCGGCCAGCCATTCCCGAAATTTGACCAGTTTTTGGATCTATGTAGCCATACGTTCGCTGATAGTCCACAATCATCGTTGCATTCACGCAGAGCGTGTTTTCAGCTGACGTCAGCAGCACTAACTAACGTCAGCTGCTGATATTAGCTGCTGACGAGTATGCGTTGCGTTGTTTTAACGCATTTGCAGTACAAAATTCGTATTCCTTTATGCATTCCAAGTCAAATTTGAAATGAAACTTGACTTGGAATGCATAAAGAAAAACGAATTTTGTACTGCAAATGCGTTAAAACAACGCAACGCATACTAAGGAAAACAACGCACGAAAGACTAAGAAGGACTAAGCTAGCTTTCGATATGTCTGTTCCTTTTATACAATTCCTAATTCAAGGTAACATTTACTTGCAGCATAAACATATACTTAAAATGGTCGTACGAGGCTACGGCATAAACTTTAAATAATAGCTTTGAATTCAGGTTTGCAATTTGAGAAGAGAAACTAATAATAATTTGTTTGATATTCACCAACTATGTATTCATCGGCTTGATACTTCTGGCCACAAAGTACCGATTTGAAAAAAAAGGAAAAGGAATTCTCTTCTTACTAAAATATTGCATACATACAAGAAGTAAATCAAATTATATTGAATAACTTGAATTTAAAAAAAAGCAGGTTGCTTTAATGTAATAAGCATTCTCACAATTACACTTCTCAATGAAAACTGTTTTTCAAGCCCATTACTTATAAAACTTGGATTCGATGTAATCGTATCGATTTTTTTGTTCGATAAATTTCTGCATTTTTTCAAATTTGAAAGCTTATTTAGGTCAAATGAATCGAATATAAGGCTGGCACCGAGTGTCTGTGCAAATAAACCGAGTAAAAAGCATATTTTATACTACAGAAGCTTAATTTGTTTATTTTAATTTATGTGCTCTCTAAATTAGAACAATTTTTTTTGCTGAAAACATTAAATAGTGTGATTAAGAAAGAAAGATGCTAATTAACTGCTAATCTAATTTTTTCCCTCCATCAAATTTGCACCAAAAAAATTCTACATATCAACCATTTTACGTTTGTGTGTGTTGATCTAATATTAGCGATAGTTGAGTGAATTGAGATTCACCGAATCACATTCTTCTAAAAGAAATTCATTCAGGGGATGTCAATTGTTCTCTGCACATTTCCAACTTTGATGTGCAAATATTGTTGAATTTCGATTTGAGGAATTTCTCTGCACCAAACACCAAGAATGTGATCGAAAATCCATAGACAAGGATAAGAAGAGCCGCATGGCAATCGATCAACCGAACGCTTCCGAATGTCTTTCCATCCGAATCACACTTTGGACGACTTTTGTAAACACGTGACCTCTCTCTTGATTGAATGCCATGCTCCCTGATCTTCATAATACTGTAAAAAAGGTCATTTGTTCGATTGAAGAAAGTGTTTGATTTTGAGAAGTATTCATCGGAGCTTGCCTTGCTTTCAGAATTTCCTTATACGGTGAACGCTTTTGAATGACGCACCAGGTGTCGGCCATACCGTAAAAGTCAATCTCAACAATGCCACACTTTTCATTTTCAAAAAATGTTCTCTCAACTTCGGTATAGCTTGGGCTGATTTCTGAGTGAAATGCAAACATTCCTTCTCTCATTCGACTTACGCCGTACGATATATTCATGAAAGCGTCTGGTTTTCCCGGTGGAGCGATTTTCGTGTCGTACAAGAGCTTACGAGTTGCTTCATTTTCCATTTTGAAGAAATGCCGATTGTATGGCGTATCATGCACTCCAACTTCGATTGCTGGATTTTGCAAATGGGAAATCGTTCGAAACGATTTTGTTGTCGATTGAAGCAATGCAACTATGTTTGCCGTGAACGAAGTGTATAGAAATAGCATAGCCGTAAAAAACACAAACTGAAACAAATGATTAATTCAAAAATATGTCCCATTTGAAGACAAAGACATATCAAACACATGTTTACCATTGAAATCCTGGTTGATAATACTTTAGTTAAATACTCCGAGCCCATTTGGCAAGTTGATGCAGTAGCAAATATAACGTAGTCTGATGTTGTCATATGGTCGGTTCCTTCGTCGGGCATCAAACGAAATTTCAACGTTAGAGTAACGATGAACGTGCACAGAATCACCAACAATATTGAACAGATCCATACGAGCCCAGTGAATGGTAAGTAGTAAATATTTGAAACGTATGAAATCGGAGGTGGTCGCAACATGAAAGCAAACTCCGTAGGCACTTCCATCGAAAGGTAATCAAGATATTCGACACGTTCAATCGTCATGAGAACGACGGAAGCTGTTCAAGGACAAATAAATGTGGGCGATTGAATGATTTTTGAAAGTATTATCAATCTTACCGCCAATGTCAACTTCTTTTCTCTGTAATCGGCCACACATTCCTGTAATTTCACCTGTTTTCGGGTCTTTGTATCTTTGAACATGGGATTGATTAATGTAATATTATTGTAATTATAGGAATGGCACTAATGGGATGTATATTACCCCCATGTTCTCTGAATGTCTATATCCATCGTCGCATTCACAGATTCAATCCAATGGTGTGTAATTAAAAAGGCCACTTTTGGACCTGGATCGATCATGTTATGGCTATAAAATGGAATATATTTAGTGTATGGCATATGAAACGTAACAAAAACATTTACTGATAATCATCCAAATCTGTGTGGATTTCAGATCCTTCTGTCGGCAATGCAGCTGAAGCTTTGAACTGATGGCCTTGCAAGTTACGGCGTCTTCGAGAAAGAATGCGAGTTGTACGCAAATCAATGAGACCTTCTTTTTGGTTCCATATACCGAAGTCTTCATAGAGTAGCGGTGTTTCCTTTGCAATTTTATACACTTTTGAGGGGAAAAAATAGAATTTTGATCTATACTAGTATAGACGGATCTTTCTAGAGATTTTTGTTTTTTGAATGCAATTTACAATCGTTGTTTTAAAGACTTTTCCGGCATAGTTAAGATCAATGTGTTACCTTGTTTTAAAGTATATCGGTCTGAATTTCTGTCCTTATTGGCGAGTATTATGTTGCTATCCGGTAAAAATGTCAAGTTTTGAATCGAATCGTTAGTGGTATCAATGATGATCCAGTGATATGGGTGTGCGAAATATTTCTCCTCAATGGTCGATAAAAAATCGGAATTGTGTTCGCAATTCATGTCAATGAAAAACCACTGCTTGTTGGTATTTTCATCAGTTGGCAAGTGGATTGGAGCGTTTGATTTAACGATTTGAACAGAGAATGGGGCATTTTTGGCGAATTTAAAATCATCGGTTTTTGACCAGCAGGTTTTTGCCCATAAAATCGATGGAATGCGCTCATTTTCAACTACATCCCTCACCAGCTTCGAAATATGTTCAACTCTTTGACCACAAATCGGCTTTAAACTTGTGAATATTATTGAAATTAAAATTAGAATCTTAAAAGCAATCATGCTTTTGAGTGTTGTTGCTTATTTTTTTCGATTAAAGTCACAAAACAGAGGTTTAAGAAGAACTAAGCTAGCTTTTGATATAGCTCTTTCTTTTATAGGATCTTTGATTCAAGGTAATGTTTTCTTCTGGCATTAAGGTATACTTAAACAGTTTTTGATAACAGGGCTGCAATTTCAAGAAACTCACCTATATAAATATTTTCCATTTTCTTTGATAGAACATGATATTATAAGCTTTTCTTCAAACACGAAGAATAGTTTTGGAAAAGGAAATTCCGAAAGATATAACGTTAGAATAAATCGAATATACGTTTAATGGATTGAAAAAATAGCATATTGATTCAGTATAATAAACATGCAATTGCAGATTAATCAATATAAATTATCTTGTTGAGTCTATGATTTATTTTTCTGGACTCTGTGGAACCAAATTATAGTTGGCTAAAAGCTTCAAGATTGTTATTTTCAAATGAAAACTTGAGAAATGAATTGACAATGCAAACACGAATTTATTATGAGATTCTAGAAATACTATCGATTGCATGCATTATTTTAAGAAATTTTTAGAGCTGCCCATTTTCAAGAAAATTTAAGTAAAACACTGCCCAGTTTTGAGTTTTGAGCTGCCCATTTGGGATTTAGAACTGCCAAAATGGGCAAGAGCTGCCCATTAAAATAATACATGATCGATTGTATATTTTTCATATTTCAAGGTTCTATATCAAAAGAATCAAATGTAAGCCTGGCGCCGAGTGTCTGAGTGCAAAAGTATTAAAATAAATTGGACTCATTTGTCGATTCTGTACGTTAAATCAAATTTAGAAGAAAGCATTGTAAAAAGCTCTACAGAGTATACTACGTCAAGGGTAGGATAGTAGTGAGCCTGATTCTTCAAACATTTCATTCAGGGGATGTCAATTGTTCTCTGTACATTTCCAATTTTGATGTGCAAATATGTTTGAATTTGGATTTGAGGAATTTCTCTGCGCAAAACACAAAGAATGAGATCAAAAATCCGTAAACGAGAATAAGAAGAGCTGCATAGCAATCGATCAATCGAACACTTCCGAAATTTTTCCCGTCCGAATCGCACTTTGGTCGGCTTTTGTAAACACGTGACCTCTCTCTTAATTGAATGCCATGCTCCCTGATCTTCATAATGCTGTAAAAAAGACAATGTAATTCATTGTTGGGAGAAAAGTGTATTATGTGTGGTAATGAAACTTACTTAGCCTTAAGAATTTCCTTGTACGGTGAATGTTTTTGAATGACGCACCAGATATCAGACATGGCGAAAAATTTGATTTCAACCAGTCCACATTTTTCATGTTCAAAAAATGTTTTCTCGATTTCACGATAGGCCTGAGGAGTCTCCACATGAAATGCAAACATTCCATCTCTCATTCGACTTACACCGTAGGATATATTCATGAATGCGTCTGGTTTGCCCGGTGGAGCGATTTTCGTTCCGTAGAATAGCTTTCGGGTTGGCTCATTCTCCATTTTAAAGTAATGCCGACTATATGGCGTATCATCTACCCCAACTCTAATTGCTGGATTTTGTAAGTCAGAAATCGTCTGAATTGATTTTGTTGTAGATTGAAGCAATGCCACAATATTTGCCGTGTACGATGTGTAAACGAACAGCAATGCAATGAAAAACGCAAACTGAAATAAACAAAAGAACATTTTCAAGGATAAAAAAGAAAAGAAAAGAAAACAAAAAGCTTCAATACAACACAGAATCGTTATTTTGCTCACCATCGAAATTCTGGTCGATAATACTTTAGTTAAATACTCTGAGCCCATTTGGCAGATTGATGAAACGGCGAACAAAATATAATCTGATGTGGTCATATTTTCGGTTCCTTCGTCAGGCATCACATGGAATTTCAACGTTAGGGCAATGACTAGGGTGCACAGAATCACAAGCAATATTGAACAGATCCATACGACTCCAGTGAATGGTAAGTAGTAAATATTTGAAACGTATGAAATCGGAGGCGATCGTAATATGAAAGCGAATTCCGTGGAGAATGCCATTGACAGATACTCAAGATATTCTATACGATCACTCGTCATGAAAATTACCGTCGCTGTGGGGTTAAATATGAAAATTTCATAAAATCGGTCACATGGCTTGAGTTTTTCTTTAGTTTCCTCACCACCAATGTCAGCTTCTTTTCTCTGTAGTCGGCCAGACATTCCTGTAATTTGACCGGTTTTCGGATCTTTATAGCCTAGATTCAAGATTGATTAGAAAGATTTGTTGATGTTACTGCATTGTAAGATTCACATAAAATTTTGACAATAAATTACTAAACAATAAGAAACTAATCCTAAGCCATCTCACCCCATGTCCTCTGAACATCAACAACCATCGTCGCATTCATAGATTCAACCCAATGTTGTGAAATTGCAAATGACACTTTTGAGCCCTGGTCAATCGTGTTATGGCTGCAAAGTGGAATACATTTAGTGTACAGCATTTGAAACGTAAGAAAAACATTTACTGATAATCATCCAAATCAGTGTGGTTTTCAGATCCTTTCTCCACGAATACAGATGTTGCTTTAAATTCATGCCCCTGTAAATTACGACGTCTTCGAGAAAGAATGCGAGTTGTACGTAGGTCAACGAGACCTTTTGTACGATTCCATTGTCCGAAATCTTCATAGAGCAACGGTGTTTCTCTCGCAATTTGATATGCTATTGACAAAAATGTTTATTTATATCGATTGTTTCTTCTTCCTATAGCTTCTTGTTTTTTTAATGCAATTTACTATCGCTGTTTTAAAAACTTTTCCGACATAGTTAAGATCAATGTGTTACCTTGTTTTAAAACATATTGATCCGAATTTGTATCTTGATTGACGAGAACAATATTGCTTCCCGGTAATAAAGCCAAATTTTGAATGGAGTCATTGTCTGCATCAGCGATGATCCAGCGATATGGGTGAGCGAAATATTTCTCTTCGATGGTCGACAAAAAATTGGATTTATGATTGCAATTCATGTCAATAAAAAACCATTGCTTGTTGGTGTTTTCGTCAGTTGGCAAGTGGATTGGAGCGTTTGATTTAACGATTTGAACAGAGAACGGGGCACTTTTGGCGAATTTAAAGTCGTCGATCTTAGACCAGCAGCTTTTTGCCCATAAAATCGATGGAACGCGCTCATTTTGAATAACATCCTCCACTAACTTTGAAAGATCTTCAACTCTTTGACCACATATCGGCTTTAAACTTGTGAATATTGTTATGAGGAAAAAAAGATATTTGAAAACAATCATGGTTTCGACAGTGGATGCTTATTTTCTTTCGAGTAAAATAACCAAATGAAGATTGAAGAAGTACTAAAGTAACTTTCGATATGGCTCTTCCTTTTATACGATTCTCAATTCATGGTAACACTCGCTTTCAAGTACTCGATGAGAAACCAATATAGCTTGAATTAAAAAAATAGTAGATTGATTTGATGTAATAGGCAAGTTTGTAATTGCACACAGCAACATAAATTATCTTGCAAGCCAATTATTTATGGAGCTCAGGCTGTATGGAGTCGCATCGATTTTTTCCTTTTAGAAATGTTTACATTTTATGCTTGATTATAGTAGCCTGAACGTATCGAGAAGATAATTTTCAAATGAAAACATATGTGGATAAACGAATTGACGGTGCATTGAAATATGAATTTATCATAGGATCCAAGAAATGTAAATTATCGATCGTATTTTTTTTTCGAAAGCTGAAATGAAAATTTGCGGTTTGCACCGAGTGGATGATGATAGAACATAAGCCGAGTAAATAGAGTCTTGGTTCATTGTTTGCCTTTTATGTCGTCGTGGCTGAAGCCCATTAATAAAATGTTTTTTTTTTCGAGTAATACAAACCTCTATTTCAAATTTAATAACATGTTTATGTCTAATACTGTTTATATCTATCCAAATTCTATTCGAAACGGTCAATTGCAACATTTTATTCTGGTTTCAGTGATTTTAGCAACAAATCTACAAAATTTAATTCGTATGCTGTTCTAAACCAGAGGGTAATTGCTGGTCAGGTTTTTAAATTTTTGTCAAGAGAGTATCAATTGTCGAATTCGGTTACAATGTATTTAAACTCATCGTAAAAACCAGGTCAAAACATAATACCAGATCAAAGATAGAAAGCACAACTAATGATTAAATCCATACTATTTGGCATGGTTAATGTGTTGTTAAAAGCTCATGCAATCAAATGATAGTGCTGTCCACAATCTATCATTTGACGAAGGTGCACTGTAATTATTCTGTTTTGCTACGTATTATGATTTGTTTGATTTTTGCAGGACAATCCACAAACAATTTTGCTCCAAAAAATGTCTCTATGCAAAATAGTAGAAATGAAGTCAAAAATCCATAAACGAAAATGAGTAGAACCGGAAAGCAATCGGTTAATCGAACGCTGCCGAAATTTTGCCCATCTGAGGCACATGTCGGGCGATTCGGATAAACTCTTGCCCGTTCTCTGGACTGAATTCCATGCTCGCGAATTTTAAAAATGCTGAAAAATGTTAAATCCCACACACTCAATATTATAGCGACATCTATTATTAAAATAGCTTGTAGTAAATGTATTTATAGCATTTCCCTGTAGTCGCGATGTTTCCTATTAAATTCCC